CTTGTATACTCTTATATTAATGTTCAGAATCTCATATATAGAACCTTTGAAGAGCCACTATGTGTGTCAGTTTCTTAATTTAAAGTGTTTTGTGATTTGGTGATGTGAGTATTTCACATCAGACAACTGCTTGTGGCCTGATGCCAGGATCAGGTTACCTTTACACGAAGAGATGAATCATGCGCCACATATTCTCAGATGTTTGACAGTAAAGGTTGAGTGATCGCCAAGAAAAATAAATCCAAATGTCAGTCGCATGAGTCAGACTGAACTGAGAAATAATAATGTATTGTTCGATGCATCTGACTGGGTATCAGGTATGAGGTGTGTTAGACAGGACAATGACAATTGGGCCACTGAAAAATTTAGGGTGGCACACTAAAACCAAAAACCATGGCTGAATTTCAGGAATTCTATTCTGCAATATTTAGACTACTTAAATCAACACCACTGAAGGCCACAAGGAAGCGCACAGACAACGTTTTAGGGATCCAGACCCTTTCTATCGCTGCTTTCCACAAGAGATCCCGCAATCAAAACGGAAGGAATGTCCACTGGCTCTATACCTTTCATACAGCGCAGTGGACCAGTGCTATGCCGGTAGTGTTGTAGTACTCGAGACCGGTCTTGGTCTTAAGACCACTTTTTGATGGTCTTGGTCTCGTCTCGGTCTCGTCTCGGTCTCAACCGCATTTGTGCTCTGTCTTTTCTTGGTCTCGGACATTGAGGACTTGGGATTTTATTTCAAGACCAGTCAAGACCATAACTTTGGGAATATCAATAAATTGCTTTTGCATTGTCTGATTTATTTGTTAACATCCTAACTTTGATTGGAAGTAAAACATATTGCTTCAAATACAACCAGAAACCCTAATTAATGACTGTCACCCCTCCCTGCGATGCTTACTCTTAGTGTTTGTATGTGGGTGTTTTAATGGGAATGTGGATCTTTCAGATCAATTTGAGAACTACCTATGATCTCGTTTCACATTTTATTGTGTGCCACGCAATGCAGGGAACTGCTCTTGGTCTTGACTCGGTCTCGCCCTCCCTCGTTCTTGGTCTCGACTGCTCTCAGCCCCTAAAAGTCTTGGTCTTGTCTCGGTCTTGATAAACTCTGGTCTTGGTCTTGACTTGGTCTCGGTTTGGGCGGTCTTGACTACATTGCCGGCATATTAGCGTAATAATCCCGGATAATAAAGCAATGTGAAAGTGCACAGTGGTTTTTCCTCTGAGCAAACTTCTGGATGACTCAGGGAGTCCGCCAACTGGTAGTGGCCACACGGTGCTGTTTCACATTTTCCACAGAGTTTAATAAACATTATGATCTGACGGTCACTGAGCTCATAGCTGTTTTCCTCCACCTGCTTCTCAATGGAGTGCCTGTTGGGAAGCGATGTTTACCCTTCCAAGTAATGTTAAGCTCAGTCCAGCTGACTCCCGCTGTTCTCATGTTTTGCAATACTCTCAGAAAGATCAAGATGAAGAAAGACACAGGATGGTCTCCCTCGAAGCCTGAACTAATCATAGAGAATTTTAAACTCATCATGCTTGATAACACTCTGTTTGTTTTTTAAAAGACAATTTAGCTTAAAGTTCACAGCAAAAATTGTGAACCGCCAACTTCAATTGAAGGAGTTTTCTGACCACGTCAACACAAGCTGGAACCACACATAACAGAATCTGACATTTTATAACAGAGATCTGTGTTGTGATTCCATCCTGTATTCACACCTGCATCAATCAATGAAATATAATCTATTTACCACTATTTAAATGGAAACAAAGAGCCATATTTACTGTTTCATGGCACAAAATGACCATGTGGATGTTAACAGGAGGGCTTATTTGGTCCGCAAGTTCTGTAGATGAATGGCCAAATATCTCAAAGTTATAAATAATGATGATTTAAATGATCTACTTTAATTCAACCATCTTTTTTAAGCTCAGTATAAATAACAAATGATGAGACAGGGTTATGTCAGCCCCGCTGGAGACCCTCCAATGATCCATGAACTGGTGATAGGAGAATGGTTTTGACATCACTTTCTGTGATTTTCCATTGCATCGTGATCTTTTTACTGGGCAACTTGAGTTTGATGGGGTTAATGTTTGTGATTTCTGTGTGTGCAGCCCAAACAGCAACAGCTCCTATCAGAAGAGCAGTTTTCATAAACCAAGTTACAAAATGCTACACTCAAGATAACAACAAGTTCAAAACGATAATAGAAATGAAGCAAAAACCTTGAGACATTAAACTGAACCACATAGAGATAAAAACAATAGATTAAGTAAAATCCAGTAAACAAACTCGAAAGCATGGGTTTGTGGGCATGTATGCCAAGTGCCAACAACAAGCCACCAATACCTACAGCGCCGCCCCCACTCCTCATGTCATGTGTATATACTATGGCAATAACAGATCAATGAGAGGATGAACTGTTTTTAGTTTAATGAAGGGATTTTAAAGACCACACTGAAACAGCAACCAATAAATTGATAAAAGGGATCAACTTTAGGTCACTGTCACAATACTTGGCACTATAGCGTGATTATTTTTGAAAATTAATAGGGTGCAATTTGCTGAGTCAGCTGTCTCCTCTCCTATTAAAAAAAAGATAATGGTGGGTTCTTGGCAGGTTAGTGAGTGACAAAGCAGAGCTGGCCATGGCCTACATATTTCTGTTTGTTTAACAAATGATATGACCCCTCGTTCCCGGGCCTTAAAGTAGGGCACCTCACCACCACGGAGAGACAGAGAGAGAGGAAATAAAAGATAATAAGCCTCAGAAAAACATTGTTGGGGATTAATTGGTGTCCACAGTAAAGGACAGAAAAACACAGAATAAGAGTGAATGTGTGTTTGCGTATGTGGGGTGTAAAGGTGAACACCCTGTGATGAAAACTCACTTCAACAGCAGTGCAGCCGAACTCCAAACTCTGAACCTCTGCATTAGTTTCAGCTGAACTGAAACTGGTTGAAGAGGATTATTAAAACATGTAGAGCAAATAATCAGTGTTTTTTTTGTAGAATTTTAAATGCATTTATGGTCCCAGTCAGCAGTTGCAAGGTGTCACATTTACATCAGAGAAGGCCCCACGTCTCTGCGTGTGCAGTAAAAATATTATACTGTTTTAAATATATATACCGTTTCAACAATTTTCTAGAACACGTGTGCCTGCAAGTTAATTTGCTTTGGAAACTGTTAAAATATTACTGCAGTGACAGATTCATTGGCTTGAGTCATTTCAAGGAAATTTTAGGAAAGAAGATTTTTGTCAATGAAAGTCAGTGACCTCTTACATTCTGACAAGGCAAGGCAGTTGTATCTGTATAGCACATTTCATTACAAGTAAAAGTGCTTATAATTGTGGTACAGAAACTTAAACTCATCACTCTAGCATGAAGAGGAAATCGTAGAGTCAATTACACTCACCTAAAGGATTATTAGGAACACCATACTAATACTGTGTTTGACCCCCTTTCGCCTTCAGAACTGCCTTAATTCTACGTGGCATTGATTCAACAAGGTGCTGAAAGCATTCTTTAGAAATGTTGGCCCATATTGATGGATAGCATCTCGCAGTTGATGGAGATTTGTGGGATGCACATCCAGGGCACGAAGCTCCCGTTCCACCACATCCCAAAGATGCTCTGTTGGGTTGAGATCTGGTGACTGTGGGGGCCATTTTAGTACAGTGAACTCAGTCATGTTCAAGAAACCAATTTGAAATGATTGGAGCTTTGTGACATGGTGCATTATCCTGCTGGAAGTAGCCATCAGAGGATGGGTACATGGTGGCCATAAAGGGATGGACATGGTCAGAAACAATGCTCAGGTAGGCCGTGGCATTTAAACGATGCCCAATTGGCACTAAGGGGCCTAAAGTGTGCCAAGAAAACATCCCCCACACCATTACACCACCACCAGCAGCCTGCACAGTGGTAACAAGGCATGATGGATCCATGTTCTCATTCTGTTTACGCCAAATTCTGACTCTACCATCTGAATGTCTCAACAGAAATCGAGACTCATCAGACCAGGCAACATTTTTCCAGTCTTCAACTGTCCAATTTTGGTGAGCTCTTGCAAATTGTAGCCTCTTTTTCCTATTTGTAGTGGAGATGAGTGGTACCCGGTGGGGTCTTCTGCTGTTGTAGCCCATCCGCCTCAAGGTTGTGCGTGTTGTGGCTTCACAAATGCTTTGCTGCATACCTCGGTTGTAACGAGCGGTTATTTCAGTCAAAGTTGCTCTATCAGCTTGAATCAGTCGGCCCATTCTCCTCTGACCTCTAGCATCAACAAGGCATTTTCGCCCACAGGACTGCCGCATACTGGATGTTTTTCCCTTTTCACACCATTCTTTGTAAACCCTAGAAATGGTTGTGCGTGAAAATCCCAGTAACTGAGCAGATTGTGAAAAACTCAGACCGGCCTGTCTGGCACCAACAACCATGCCACGCTCAAAATTCTTTCCCATTCTGACATTCAGTTTGGAGTTCAGGAGATTGTCTTGACCAGGACCACACCCCTAAATGCATTGAAGCGGTGTTCCTAATAATTCTTTAGGTGAGTGTATATAATGCTCTGAAGCGACTGGTCAATATTAGTTGGTCAAAGTGTTACAGTTAACAAAGGAAACACTGACTCATGTCAAAATTACACAATGACTGACTGCTCAGTTAATACATATTAAATAACCGTTTAAATTCCTGCCAATCCAAAGCTCATTTCACCTTTCACACTAACTTGTTGTCAGGTTTATTAATTCAGCTATTAATAATAGAAGTATGCTTTTGATTGATAAATCCCATATTTACTCAACTACCATTTCTCAAAGTACTTTCTTTTTAGTTCTTGTAAATAAAGTCAGTGTGAAGCTACAGTTAACCCTGGATTGGTGCTGTCCAGACGACTGGTTCTTTTGTGCAGCTCCCAGTAGGAATGTGAGGCAAGGTGCATCTTAAAATAAAAAAACAAACACATATAGCCAGCAAATCTTTTTCTAGAGAGGAACGACCCCCCTGTCAACCTTTACTTTACAGTAAATACTTGTGGAAACATTGCAGTACATACAGTATATTATATAACACTTAGGCAACAGAGAAGCACAAGACGTTTTCAAAATGGGTCATGCATGGTCATTCACTCGAGAGACAGTCATTACAAACTGATGTAATTCATGTTAAAACCCAACAGAAGGAATTGTACATACATTTAACGGACAGATACCGATGAACCTGAAGGTTTACAACTGTTAAATAATAAAAACAAACATGACTTTTCTCTACTTTTTAAGTGCTCTTTTCTGACAAGTTCAAATAATTACATCTCAACAAATCCTTTGAATCCATTCAAACTATTTTCAAACAGATTTTTTTTAACAAGGTCTTTACGCTGCCTTCCCACTGTATAACCTGACACAGTTTGGTCCCATTCACATACAACAGACCTGGGTCAGATTCACATAGCAAACCCCCCCCCAACTTCTCAGACATCACATTATCCCATTTATCCAAGCTCCTCTGACAACCTCTCCCATTTCAAGGCCATAAAATGTGTCCTTTTTGTATTCAGCATAGTGATGCTGACATTTTTCCCAGTCCATGGTGTGAATGTGGAATGAAGTCCTTCTCAAACAGATGATTTGATGCTTCTGGCTCCTGCTGTTGCTCTGGACTTGTCGTTAAATGACAAAAAAAAGCATCCGCTGTTGTATAAGGAGCTTTTTCAGACCCTATAGACGCTCAGTGAGACTGAATGAGTGACCCAGATCCGGCTGTTGCTTGGTAACCTGTTTTTTTTGTTGTTTTTTTTACCAGCTCGTCTTTAGGAATTCAGACATTTCCCATGGCAAGCTTTAAATAAGAGTGCTGAGTGTTTAAAACCAGCACAGCTCTGATTGAAAGCCAAAAAAGTTAAGCTAAACCAAAGGCAGAAAGTCTGGATGCCACCAACATTTAAATCATGACTGTCTGAATTTCTACTTCCCTGATTCAGCGTTTCCCCAGAGAACTAGCATCTTAACTTCCTTAATGTGATGTCTTTCTTGTTGAATGGAGAAGAATCATTGGAGAGAAGGGCGCTGTGATCTGACAGACAGGTTCTAAAATAAGGTCGGGGGTAGGGGAGACTGACTATAAGTTAGATTCTGCTCGTGAAGTTCCACATTAATTGAATCTTAAAAAATAAGCTCCCACTTGAAGGAAGATTAAATTCAAAATAGAAAAAACTAAGACTAAGTGCAGGTGAAAACGTTTGTATTGAACACAGTCCATGTAAAAAACTAATGGCACCATGTCCTCCTCAGAGCTGCACCTAGTGTAATTTACCTGTTGTTGAAAACGGAGCATCACTTTCCACAAAGTAACAAAGTTTCTGACCACACTTGACAGCAGCGAGCACAAGAGCTGTAACGATTAGCTGATTCATCGATTACTTGTCAAATATAAAATGAATTGGCAACTATTTGGATAATTGATTCATCGTTTTAAGATAACTAACTAAATTCTCAGATTCAGCTTCTTATATGTGAATATTTTCTGTTTTTTTCCTCCTCTATGACGGTAAACTGAATATCTTTGGGTTAAACCAAGACAATTGAGGACGTCATCTTGGGCTTTGGTAAACACTCATTGACATTTTTCTTTTTTACCATCTATGACATTTCATTGACCAAACAACTAATTGATTAATCGAGAATATTAATCCATAATCGATAATGCACAGCGCTTAAAAGCAGAACTTCAGTCCCTACATGAGAAAGAAATTATGTGCTTCTTTGGATTTTTCCGAGGACATTCGGTATGATGTAATAATCTGTAAGCACTTCACCACAATAGCTGAAATATCTCAATACTCAAATAACCAGTCTGACTATTGGACTACTTGTTAATAACAGGACCTCTAGAAGATGACTTCTTTTCCCATCCTGCTTCATCTTCTGATCCATTCTCGACTAACATCTACCAGCTTCCCGCTGCCGGTCGTTGGTCACCTCTCAACCTGACGGCAGCCGAGAGAGCCAAAACAAACACCCAGCTGTCAATCAGCTCTGTACCACAACATTACAACATTTACAACTAAATTAGAAACAGTTGTGCTGCAGCCTTTTGTTCAATTAAACAGGCAGCAATGTCAAAAAAACAACAATAAAACAAATCACAAGACAGTCTATATCTCATGATACACAATAGCGTTCTTCTCCCAGCAAAGCTTTACATCCCGACAGTGTGCTGCAAACAAAGCAAGGGATTTAAAAACACATTTCCTATGCCTTCATAAAAATACATTTAAAAAGTCACCAAAGCAGTGAAGTCAGAATCCACACAAACAGGAAATATTAAAACATCAACACTTGACTGTTCTCCAGAAATCTTATATTCCAATTAATATTTTTACTGACCTAACCTTCATTTTTTTTTACTTGTACTGTATCTGTTGCGTTTGTAATTTGAACTCCAGCCTGATTTTCTGTTCAACTCAGACTATGTCTACATTGAGCCGTATGAAAATGACAGTGACACACCTGAATGGCATGAAAAAACCTGAAAACAACCCGGAAAAAATCTGACTTTTCAGTTGGTCGACATCAAAACTGCATCTCAGCCAACATCATGTAAGGAGTGGGCCAGACAGACAGCCGGCTGACTAAACAACACATTGGACGCTTAGTCAACACCCTGGGACCTGTTTTTGCACGTGTAGGGCTCCGCGGTCGAATTTGCAATAACAAATATGCAACATTCAGTTAGACTTTCAAAATAAAACTAGCGGTTAACGTTGTGAAACGTGCATGGTCAATGTGAAACACTGCAGTTTGGTTAGGTTTAGGCACCCAAACTACTTGGTTATTTTTAGGAAAACATCATGGTTTGGGGTACAATAAGTTATAACACCACTCTAAACAAACACCAGCCTCTTGATGAAAGTCCGGTTTCTGGCCTACACAACCTACTTTTAGCGTTTAAAAAAAAGGGCTTCCCATTGCTTTATAAACTAACGCCAAGCGGTCTTGACCATGCGTCCGTATGTGATGACTTAGGAGTGAGAATGAGTCATTGATTCATAGCTGCAACATCGTCTGACAAAATGAATAAATAAATAATAAATCCATGTTTACGACAACTACTCTTAGTAGTTGTTAACGTTGTTAACGTCTTTTAAAATGAATAATCACAGAGACGACTAAATGTTTACCTTTTTAACTTTACAGGGACACACCTTCCGACCCTCACTGGAACACCAAGCAGGCATTTTAACATTTACGCTCCCTGAAGGCCGTTTTGGAAAAGCTCCACTTTGGGGGGAGAAAAACTTCTCTATTCTGGCAGGAAATGGAAAGAAAAAGATGCATTTAAAAATTAAGACCGGCTTAATGCAGACTTAGTCTCAGTTTACGCAGCACCATAAAATACAGGATCATTGAACATGGTGTACAAATACCTTGTTCTCTAATATTGATAATAATAATTACCTGAGCAAACCAGCAACCTATTATTATTTAAATACAAGGTTTCTGGAGAACACACATGACTTTTCAGTGGTATGGGCCCAGACATGTTTAAAATTTCATTCATGAAACCTTGATTTGGACCAGCAACGGGTTCGGGAGGCCTACGCTGATATACCCCCCCCCCCCCGTGACAACAACTAAAAATCTGAATTTCTTCAGTCAGGGCTGTCTAACATTAAAACTAACATAGTCCGTGTGCAAATAAAAACATTTCTAGTGTTTCTCTGTGGCTGTTGCGGTGGGAAGTTCCCATCTTCTTACAACACTCACACACTGAGCTGTCAGACCCCGATTTTACAATACAAACTGCGTTACAGTACATAATAATATTGTTGAGAAACTCATTCCCTCTACAGTCTGATCTACGACCAAAGAGATACATAAGGTGCGTTGTGATAGCTGTGGCAGACAGATAGCTAACGCCACTAATAGTCTGTGTGTCTGTGTGTGTGTGTGTGTGTGTGTGTGTGTAGGCTGGTCACTCCAGGCCGAAGCCCTCAGCGTTGGAAATGGCGATGGTGAGTTTGTGTTTGAGCTCCTTCCTGGTTCGATACGGAGGCAGACAAATCTGATTGAAACAGGTGTGAGAGATCGGCAACCTGCAGAAAAACAGAGAGAAAGAAAAATGAGAAGAAAAAAAAAAAAAGGTATTTTTAACCATAAGAATAAAAAATAAAAAAAGAACTGTCCAAAATAACTTTTTTAGTCAAACACTCTTGCTGTAGCATCTTCTAGATGGTTCTGAAAAAACTTCATGAGCCCGCAAACAGGCAGTTTTCTTAAAATGCGGAGAAATTTGGGACCGTTCAACTGATCTCACATATAAAAAAAGGTTTTTACTCAACACAGCTACTCAACAAACGTGACTTGGTTGCGCCATACTCAGCTGCTGCTGTCACTACGGTTGCTCTGGCAAACCAATCATTGCTGGTTGACATAAAACACATCACTACTGGTTTACCAGCGCGGGAATCGTCACACTGAAATACAGAGAGTTTACCTGGAGGCGACGGGCTTAATCAGCAAGGTGTGAACTCATTTGGCGAGTCCTGCACTCTAGCTTTGAAGTTCAATAGTAAGGTCTCTAAAACATTAAAATTATGTGCAAGACCACGTGTCTCTCTTACTCAGTGTGTTGATTCAGCATAGCCTTTTGGAAGCAAATTAAAATAAAACATTTTTAATAAAAAGTATTTGGTAGAATCTCAGAATCTCTCAGGACCCCTGTGTCATCAGGTTCTTTCTATGTCCATTTAATTTGAGTACTGGTCTCAGTGTGGTCGGTTTTTGTAAACTACCAGTCAGTTGGAACTTCGATCTTGGAGATTTTGAAGTTGAGGTCGGCCATTCCTCCTACGGGAACGCGGTCACTTCCTGTGGCGAAGTGGAGGAGCTTCTTCTGCAGCTCCAGAGGGAAAGCCAACACCACATCCCAGAAACACCTGGTGCAACACAAAGAAAATCTCTCTCAAATAGATTTATGTGTAGCCAAACACCAAGAAGCCTCAGTGTGACCGGGATAAGAGTGCACATCACTGTTTGATGTGTGATGCCAAGCTGGAATTTGTTATTTCCAAACAAATGTGCTTTTTAAAAACGCTCTCCAGAAGAGATGCATTAATAGATTTTGTGAACAAGGAAAATCAAACCTTTCCAGAATGTTTGCCTGCAGAGAGCTCGTAAAACTACAGAGTGACAAATAAATAGTTTACAGTCAGACAGACAGTACTGAAGTTGTGTAACAGGGCTGCAGCTGCTTGTTGTCAGCTGTCAGCACCATACTGAGTTACGTTATCTGTGGCTGACAAGTGTTGGCTTGTTTTCTTCCCCTGCTACAGGAAGGATGGACGTGTGTGTGTGTGTGTGTGTGTGTGTGTGTGTGTGTGTGTGTGTGTCAAACTTAACGCCTTACAGGCTTGCAGCCTAAACACACAAACCATCTGTCAATCATGACGGACAAAAACTAAGTTGTTCTGAGTAGAAAAAAAAAGGATGTGTTGACTTCCTGCACAGCAGAGTAGGTTAGTTTCAGTAAACAGGAAGTGCAGGTGTCTCACCGTACGGTCGTGTCGGTCTTGCTGAATCCTTCATATTGAGCAGCTTTCTGCAGAGCGGTCATGTCGAGCTCTGGACTGCCGCACACCAACATCTCCACCTCCTCCGGCCGCAGCAACTGCAAAAAAAAAAGAGAAGAAGAATAAATACACACTTTGGTGTACAATTTAACTCAAATTAACTTTTTGAGATTGAGCTTCTTAAGAATTTATTTCATTCTAAAGTCAAAGAAGACATGCTACACAAAGAGAAGTTGTTGATATTTTTTAACAACTAATGAACAACCTCACACATTGATGTACATCAAAAAACGCAGTTTCCTAAATTATAGTTTTCATTATCTCATGAGATAATGCAACGTAAAACAATATACCAAAAATGTTAGGTAACATTACGCATAAAACATAAAACATACATAACATAAAAGTATTGTAAAGTAACAAACTAATGCAACACCGGTCAGCACAGTGTAACATGACAAATAGAAAGAACAGACCAACATGAATTCAGCAGTTTCTTCTGATTATATTTCTAATTCAATTCAGTTCAATTCAATTTAAGACCTTTATTTGTCCCCAAGGGGCAAATAGTTTTGCCGCAGTAGCAAATAGAATTAGACAAAACACGACAACAACATCAGTAATGACAAATACAGGGTGAGACCAGACCATAAAACACATAAATAGTGTGCCTTATTACATTTACATGAATATCTGTTAGATTGGACTGAAGTGGGAACCAGAAGGCAGCAACTTAAATTCTGCATGCAGAATCATCAGACATGATGGATTCTGCCTTCTTATGCACACATTTGTTGTATAGTTCAGTTATTATAAAGTATATAACAATACTGACAAAAAAATATGATTCCATTGCATTACAGGGATTCTGATATCAATATCCATTTAATAACAGTAATGCTGAATTACACTCGAGCCTCATTTCCCGTAAATCTCTCATTCACAGTTAGGCAAGCCGAGTCCAGCGCAAGAATGGTGGGCCCTGCCACAGGCGACGAACTACTGAACTACTGTACAGTGAGGTAATTATCAAATACATTCAACAGCTACAGCGGAAATAACTGCTGATCAGAAAGGATCAATAGCAGTTTGATTTCATGAAAGTCTTCAGGATTATAACTTCAGCCTCCGTGCATGTTAGTATCAGCTGGATTTGAGCCCTGGCGGCTTCAGTTCCTGGCTCAGCCCACTGATCTACTGTCACCATGAGGAAACATTTGAATAAATCAGCTGGACGGACGCAACATCAGCTCTAGAGTAGAATTTCCACTTTAACAGAAGAGTCATTTCCGCTGCTTGAATGGTGTAAGAACACAACCCGTAAAAACAGGAGGCGAAACAGGAAATCCGGCCTCATTCGAGCAGCTGATAACAAAGTGTGTCAAACTGTAAAAGAATCTGCTTCAAACTGTACAACAGACACACAACTTACAACTTAATGACTCATTGTTGGGCAAGTCTGTACACGGTCATGTGGGTCACGAACACCAAAACAGCAATTTATAAAAAGTAGATTAGAGTTTTATAATGTTAAATCCACAGATCATTTAAAATATGTTCAGTATAGTTCAGTAGTTTCTCTGTCAGGAAGAGACAACAGTTTACAAACTTACTGACAGGCAAAAACTCCAGACTCTGTCACAACACCATCACACACAATCATTAAACCACACACCCACAAATCAACCACAGGCCTGCCTCATCACATCCTAACACGTCACACAGTGTGGACGTGACTGACGACAGATACACAAACGAAACATAGAAAGACGAATATAGAAGTGTGTCTGACACACTGAACTTTGACCCCAATCAAAAACGAATCAGATACAGCTGAGTTTGAGACTCAGATGTGCTTTAGCTGTTTTTAAGTTGTTTTTTTTAAAAGTTGATGAACATCAGCAAGAATACAAAAAGGTATTATCCTTTTTCACAGTAACTGTGCCCATGTGAGTTACACGTCTTAGCTTCCTGGCAGGTAGGGATGTACAAATAAAAGACAACCGGTCCGCCCACACCCAGCGTATCAGAACTCAATTATAAGCCATCAAACGCATCACAACAGCACAGGACATCACACACCTGCTAATTCACTCTCCTACCATCTGGGTGCAGGCACGGGTCCCTGAGGTGCAGAAGGACCCGTTTTGGCAAAAGCCTGGTACCTGCAGCCATAGTGCCATGAACACCGTGTCTCGGGGAGGACACCGGGAGTCTTGCTTTCACCTGTCCTGTTGTTGTTGCATGTTGTATATGTTGTACATTTGTTGGGAGTGATATGTGATGTTAATTGCAGATGTACAGTGTTGAGAAAAGAATTTCCCTTCGAGACAATAAAGTGTAAAGTGTCGCTTATCGAAACGATCAAAACCTAATAAGTGGTGTATCCACGTGTCCATGCCTTCTAACGAAATACCAGATAAAGTCTCACTCTCCGTTTCTCTGCCAAATATATCAGGTGTGAACTTCAGTCACATGACTTGGACTTGAGTCAGACTCCAGTCACATGACTTGGACTTGAGTCAGACTCCAGTCACAAATATGATGACTTTAGGCTCAACTTGACAAAAATAAAAAACTTAACACCAATGACTTTTGACTTCACTTGTACTTTTAATCTTTTTACTCAAACTGACCTGATACCCTCTCTAAGCCCAAATATAAATTATGATATAAAATAAACTGTGTGCAGTGCATTAAGACTTCATGAAATTATTTGACAGTAATTGTGAAGAACTTCCACAGCAATGAGATGTTCAAGTGTGCCTGTGAAAATAGTTGGTTAACGTCTGTGCTGTGGTGTAAATGATCAGCCGAACGATCGGTGTCTCTCTAGATCTTAACGTTTCCCAGACTGGTCTAAACGCGGCACGTGTGCATCTTTCTATCAGAGTAGAAGTGTAGAGTGGTGGTTACAAAAGAGACTTCATTATGACGGGGATGTCTATCTGTATGTCCAACACTTTGGTACAGAGCAAGATATCTTTACAATTACAGTCTTGCCAAATTGCATTTAATGGTCTCCAGAGGATGAAAACTAATGATTATGGCGACTTCCTGACCGTTCATCTAGTCTCAACTTTCATTTAGACAAAGTTTCCACTTCCTCCAAACATTAAAGAGTCAACAGGTCATTTACATTCATCCTCCCCAGAGGATGCAACACTCCATGAACTCCATGTGCTTCCTTCTAGCACCTCCTGCAGGCTAAAATGGCCACTTTCACAGCTTTGCACACAAAATTTATACAGATAAACCTTTAATGTACTGCGCTGTTAAAGGATGGGTTCACAGTTCAGACGGGTCATTCCTAATCCACCTTTAATGTAGGTGATTTTTAGTACGAAATGCCCTCTTTGTGTTTCCCTGTTGAGCTACAGTGGAGGGATAGTTAATAACTATCCAAGCATCAGATAAATGTTTGAATGAAATATACATTAGGACGGGATCTTTTAACTGTCAGTTAGAAGGAGGACTAAATAACAGGAAGCATAACCTGTGTCAACGTTCATTTTGGCACATGACAAATTGTGAATCTACCATTTAATGCTCTTCAGAGAGGGACCCCCTTTGATTTCAAGGTTCAAATAGACACGTTTTGTTTGTAAATGGCTTATGCAATCTATTCTTAAGTTGAGGTGTACCAGCAGCTCCACCTTACAGGACAGCTGAAGAGCCTTAAACTTCTGCTTTACTAAAAATAAGGAAAGATAAAAAGAATGCAGATATAAATAGGTTTTATGATCTAAATACAGTAAATATAGCAGAGCTTAAATGTTGAGGAGATTTGAAGGTGAGCAGAGCCACAGAGGGCCTTTCCCTTCTCTGACCCAGATTCTGGCTCTCAGCTGATAAAGTGCAGTCAAACTGTCCGTCTTATCTGCAGTCAGCTCTGTCAGTCAGCTCTGGACGTGTGACTAACAACAAAACACTTCAATAATATCTTACACAAAGTCCTACATTGTCCTCTGTGAACTTGCCTGTTGTGACACCTGACCCTAACCCGAGTGTGGGCCAGGACCTGAAGGTAGCACTTAATCTACAGCACTTCCATGTTAATCCTTTGTTACATTTAACTTATGTACTACATATGTATAATTAATTGCTTTTTTCATGGTAGCTCCAGCTAAATAAATAAAAAGGGAGAAAAATATACACCCAGAGTTCAACAAACAAAGAGCAGCGGAGTCAGCAGCTACTTATCAGGAGAACCAACATTTGATTAAGGAGGAAGGTAAATAGAAATTGGCTGCCTGAGCTCCATGATGGAGAGAAAGAAGGAAAGATTAAAAAGTTCAATTCTCAGTTATAACTTCCTAAAAAGTGATTCAACATGGAAAGTCTTTCTGTTGCTGCACAGGAAGTGATGAAATCTACATTACCAGCATGTTCGAAATCTTCTAGGAAATCTAGTTTATCTTGAAACGAGGCTGCGTAAGGCCACAGCTGCTAAACTAGTATATCACATCACATTTAATCCACATGACCTCTGCTGAATTCAGTTAGCCGCTTTATATCAGCACAAAGAGAGAAGATTAGGTGATTTTTATACCTTCAGTTTTTTTCTTATCTCTTAAGACGAGATTGTAACGATGTCTGTTCAACTTTAAATCGATAACGTACTCAGAAATCAAAATGACTGGACTGGAAACTCCCTTAATGACAGGAAGCAATGCTGTTTTAGAGAGGCTTGATAAAGTGAAGAATGTTACATCTGATACAGACACATCCGTGGACTGAACGATGATGATGAGAAGATGTGCGCACATTTTTATCATCGGGAGTAAACACACACAAACGGGGCCTGTAATGTTATCCCACCACTTTGTGCCTTACTCTGCCTCCAGTGTTTCCCCATTGCAAATTTGAGTTTTATGCAGGTAGTGGCTTCACGGTAGCGTTTCCTCGCCTCATGTTTTTATTGTCTTTAATTTAAAATGTCTTTGTTTTATATGGCAGGTGTATGAACAGTGCTATACAAATAAAGATTGACTGATCGTCCTGTATCCTGCGACAGCCACAGATACGGGCATTTGATTTATTTATTGATAAAAAAACGTTTTTGAAATACATAACCTACCCTATGTTACATATTCGTTCAACTTCCTGGCTTGCTGACACCACAGGCTAGAGGCTAAGGACAGAAATACCCAAGAGGAGGTCAGTCTTAAGAGATTACAAATTTTTTTTTAAAGTATTGACACAATGCGTTCCACTAAAAATGTTACAACCATAGGCACGATTAGTTTGAAAAGCAGCTGCAAACATTTATTGGCTGTAATAATTAATTAGTGACCGGAGGGGCTGAGTAATGGAAAGTTTAATATAATATCTGTGCCGGCTTGCTTGTTGCATTCACTGTGGACTCACCATGAGCGCATCGGAGGCACACACACTGTGGAATCCATGGTAGAAGGCAGCAAACTGTTTATAAATGGATTTATTCAGCAGGAAGTCGACGTAGAGCTGGACATACTCTGTGGAGAGAGAAGGAACAGAACAGTGCGATTATAGATATATTCCATTACAAACTTTTACCCATTTACCCTCCAGCCTGAGCTCTTTAAACACACACAGAAGGACTCTGGCAGAGAGCTGGACCTGGACGGCAACAATGGAAAATTAGGTTTCATGAGAGAAATAAAGTTGAGGTTCTCAGCTCCAACAAAAGAAGCTTTCGAGCTGAGCCAGGTTTCTGTGTCGCTGCTCACATGACGTTAAAACAGCACAGGAGGGGGGTTTAAATAGTACTGAAGTTCTCAGCAGTGCTACACTGATGATATTAAAAGATAGGAAGGACCTAACTTATACTTTAACTGTCTGTCATGCATGTTGCACCAAAGTGCTTTGGGTTCAATTCAGTAAAGAAATCATGGGTGTCGAGGTATTGTTAAGAATGTAAATACAACATTAGCCGTACGTGGGTGGTGGTGATACAGTGGATAAGACACACGGGTTCAATTCCCCACAGTGAAACATCCACCGTTGTTTCCCTGAGAAAGACACTTAACCCCTAGTTGCTCCAGAGGCGTGCGACCTCTTCGATTAAATGAATAAATGTAAATCCACTGAGGTAAAGGTAGGTGACAAGGAGAGAGATGCTGGCTGCCAATCTTGTGAACATGCAAGGGCGTGGTTTCAACTAGGGATGTGGAGAACATTTATTACTACTATATATACTATTTTTGTCTTTGAGATTGATTTTTGTACTAAAACCTCTCTGAACATGCTGGATCTAACTGTCCAGCTGCCAAAATCCAGAGCAGAGTGGATCTAAGCTGATAAACATGTTGACACACTCATCTGAGTCGCCGCAGTTGTTATCTTGCAGGGACGACCCTAGGGATGAGTATCGCTATTCGATACCTTTATGGTAACCGACGGCAACGTCTTCGGTCGAACCAGTATTTCAACCGATACTTTTTATAACCAAATCGCGGCAAAAAATATAAGAATATTTGTATGGTTTTTCTTGCAGCTAAACACGCAAACACCACACCTAAAGAAAGAGAAGAGCACTATGAACTGTATTAAAAAAGGCGAGTCCAAGCATGATTTTAACAGGCATGTTCCGTTGGTTTCATCTTCTGGCATCATTTAACACTCTATACATTACAATTTATTTGCTATTCACATCACTTGTCACTGATCGATGCGTTACATCACATGAATTAAAGGCTTTTGTGGCGCAGCAGCGATCGGCGGATTTTCCTGACCAGGTGTAGCTGGTTTGATCAGCTGGACGTGCAGCCTCTCTTTACTCTGTGAGTCTTTACTGTAGTTATGTGACTTATTAAAAAATTTAAAAATTTAAAAAATGGAATATCGCTAACCACTTCCTCTCTTGTAGCTACAACCAACTCTGTTTGACTATGTACTTATTTAGTAGTAGGTGGGCAGCAGCAGCCTGTAGCCTGCAGCAAGCCATGGCACTGCGTTTCACCCTTATTCAAAATACAGAACCTCAAGATATTGCTGTCAAAAAGAACCATTAGGAATTACCCTAAGCTCCAGACAATCTATGAGCTGTTTGCTCAATGTGCCCCGAAGAGTCTCATCAGGTTCAGCTCATGTTCTTCACTGCGAGTTCAAACTTATAGAAGATTTAAAGCCGAGGTGCATCTAGCCGAGGATTTGTACAGTAGCCATGTATGATTGTGAGCAGCGCTTGGTGTCTGTTAGGATGATCTGCTCTTTATTAAAGCGTGGAGCATTTCATCCTGGATGTAATGTGTTTTTCGCTCTATTCCAGTCTGATCAGCAGGCAGGAAGAAGGTTCATGCCGGTGTCAAGGTGGTCTGTATGCCAGTGAGCATGTTTCTTGGCTTTATCAGAGAATGACCTCCGCGTCAAACTATGAGGCTCGTGCTGTGACTCGCGATGACTCGCTGTGGGACTCACCCTTCCTGTTGTGCTTGGTGACGGGGATTTTGTCTCCTCCAGTCTTCAGGTTGTAGGATTTGACCACGCCCATTTCCTCCTGGTACACCTGCAACACACACAAAGTATAATGTCACATGGGTGGTGCTGGTGCATGTCTCTGATTCGCCAGGACTGAAGGATCTCTACCCATTCACTCCCACATGGATGGCAGTGAGCTACCATGCAAGGTGACCTGACCATCTGGAGCAATTTGGGAGTTCATCGTCTTTCTTACGGACACGGTGACATGTGGCCTTCATTTCAGCATCAACCACCAGCCCTGTGATCAGTGACCCGCTCTACCCAGCAGCCCCGCAGCAATCATACAGATCTGAACATTTTAATAATTTTAATTTAACGTTTTAATTAGATGTTATGCCACAGAGAACTTTCACCTCACGCTGCCGTTGTCCTCAGCTCTATGGAGCATTTTAACACCTTGCCACTTATTTCTTTGGTTTTATAGCCTGTAACTTTATTGTCTGGTTCATTCTCAGTGTTTCCAGCAGCAGCAGGCAAATGTTTTCAGCAAACAAGTCATACAACAATTAGCCATAATGTTATGACCACCTGCATAATATTGTGTAGGTCCGCCTTTTTGCACCACAACAGCCTTGACCCGTCGAGGCATGGACTCCACTAGACCTCTAAAGCTGTGGTATCTGGCACCAAGACATTAGCAGCAGATTCTTTACAGTCCTGTAAGTTGACAGGTGGGGGCCTCCATGGTTTGTCCCGCACATCCCACAGATGCATGCCTTCTTTTTATATTGCATCCTGGTGCCTTGTTTTCCCCAGGTAAGCGATGCACACGCACCTGGCCATCCGTATGATGTAAAAGATAATGAGATTCATCAGACCAGGCCACCTTCTTCCATTGCTCCGTGGTCCAGTTCTGATGCTCTCATGTCCACTGTAGGAGCAGTGGACAGGGGTCAGCATGGGCACCCTGACTGGTCTGGTCTGCGTGGCTGGGTTCTGACAACTTTCTGTCAGAACCAGCATCAACTTCTTCAGCGGTCTGACCTGCAGCAGCTCGTCTGTTGGATCGGACCACACGGGCCAGCCTTTGCTCCCCACATGCTTCACTGAGCCTTTTCCTTCCTTGGACCCCTTCTGATAGGTACCGACCACTGCAGACCGGTTTGGAGATGCTCTGACCCGGTCATCTAGCCATCACAATTTGGTCCTCGCCAAAGTCACTCAATTCCTTACGCATTTTTTCCCCTGCTTCTAACATCAACTATGAGGTCACAATGTTCACCTGCTGCCTGATCTTCCCGCCCACTGACAGGAGCCATGGTAATGAGATAATCACACTTCACCTGTCAGTGGTCATAATGTTATGGCTGATTGGTGTGCACCCAGTGAACAGTACCTGCATACCACCAAACAGCCCATGATAGCTGGTGAAGAAAATGTGGACCATCTAGAAGCTGAAGAGCCCAAATGTTTTTAAGGAGTTGGTAAAACCCAAACTAGAGCTGAATGGAGAGTAAATATAACAACATACTTTCAACTGGTGGACAGAAATAAGATTCAAGAGATATGAAATTGCGAGGAGATAAAATTTGAGATGCTGTTTTTCAAGTTGCACAGCCCCAAGATGGTAAAAAAAAGAAACAATCGCTGAAGTCAGGTTTAACTATGGTCTCAAATGACAGCACAGTCACGGTTTACACAGTAAATTCAGCTAGTTAGACAACAACAAGTCCGACGTCACACTCACCAGTGTGCCAATCTGTTTTTCACTTATGTAACAACTAGATGTTTTTTAAACTTTGTTTTTAGTAGGATTATTTATGTGGGACTAAGATTTATATTCAGCGTACAGACATGATCTTCTCATCAAAAAAAATAAAAATAAAGAGAATTAGCAATTTTTTCAAGAGAATCTGTTTCACTTCATGTACGGTATTTAAATAAATGTTAGAGTTAAGTTTAGCTTAGGGTGAAGGGCTATATGTGTGCAGGAAATGGATGAACATATGGGAAAAAAGAGGAGTCACGGTGAGTGGGAGCTATATGAAATATATACCGAGGGATCCAGTGTACTGCAGGTCAGTGGTCCCACAGTGGTGCGAGCAGCCTTTACTCACACTCAGCTCACACTGTGGGTTAAAATAACACCTCCACTCAGGCTTTTACATGGCTTCATATATATATATATATATATATATATACCAGCTGCACAATGAAGTATTCCATTATATCTGGTAACTGAGAATCTGACAAGCCTGTTTCTTGAAACATGCTGACGTCATGTTATCTGAAACTTCAGACCAGTACAGATATCTAACCAGGAAGTTTAAGGATTTTGGGGAACTTTTTGACATGAACTCAAGTCTGCAGTGCTTCTCATCAAGCAATACAGGTATTCAGATCCTTTACTTCAGTAAAATTAGCAATACTACAAGTACAAGTTCCTTCTAGTTCATTAAGCATCTGTGAATCTACTACTACTTAGCAACGCATCATATTCTATAAGATCATGTTGGTAGCGTCGTTTGCAGCTTTGTGATGATGCATTGTACAATATACAAGTCAATGTACTGTTATTCCACTGACATCAAGCTAAATCAAATGGCTTGACTGAAGTTTGGGCTTCAGTTTAGGTGAAAAAGTAAAGGTTTGCACAGGTCAATATAAGGCTGTTATTTTCAAGCACCAAGCATCCAAAATAAATAAAATAAACTTCAGCATTCATTTCTGTAAAAACATAAATGTTTTCTATTGCCGTAACAATCTTTGGTCATCCATTATCCATAAAGCAAAATAACTAGGGCTGGGTCTTGTTTTCAGTAGAGATAGCAAAATTATTTTTTCTCAAAACATTATTAAAAAAACAAAAACAAACTAAAACATGGTTTATCTACTGAACCTGTTTTCCCCCTTTAACGAAAGAGTCCAAAGTACTCAAATGTTATTTTTTGTCCAAACTAAAACAGCCATCAAATACAGCCAAAATTATGATTTAAGGTGATTGTTCTTTACTGGAGTAACTAACTGGGAACTATCTGATCAAAAACAAACTGGATTTTAATACCCCGCCCACAACATGTTCATTTTATCCTTCCAACTTTTTTGTAAGAATGTGTGGCCTATATTTGGAACCAAACTGTCCATAATCACAGTTTGATGCTTTTATAAATTACAATTTTATATACTCTGACTTTGCCTTTTGACTTATCTGCTGCGTGACATCACTGGTGCTGATCCAGATCGCCCTCTGGTCTTTATTAAAAATCACACAGCAGCGACAGCAGTCACAGCTGTCTGTCAGCACCGTCACACCTGCTGAGATACTTTCATCATGACGCGCCCTGACCTTAAACACAGTCCCTTGCAGAGTTTTATAAGACCTTTCTCACATCAATCACAATGTTATCGCTTATCAGTCAAACTGCTAATGCTGAACACAATCCCAGGATGAAACGACCAAAAAAAAAATAAAACAAATAAAAAAAGCTATTCGATTCCTTCTTAGCTTTCTTCATTTTTGTCATTTTAAAGAATTGAAAACAAGTTCAAATACATGTAACAAAAAAACCCCTCCTCTCTTTGCAAGCGCTACGTTAAAAAAAAACCCCCAGCACCTCCTACCTGAGCATGTATGGTCATACCTGGAAGCTGAGGTAGAAGTCTTCCTCTACGTTTCCCTCGTAGCTCAGCAGCTCTCCCAAACCATGAGCCAGCTCCTGCAGACAGACACAAGAGTTCAGGATCAGGTGACTGGTTCAATCCCAAATGAAATGAGAGAATCTGACAAGTGATTCCTCTTAAAGGGGATAAATGTAGTTTTTTTGTGATTAAATTTATTTGTGAACAGGTTGTAACCTCACATAGAAATTTACCATACACCTGCTTTTATCAGTTTCTAGAAACAGCCACTATTGCTGCTTCGCCTGTGGAAAAACCCACTGGTTTACGTAGGCGTTCATGCGCGTGCCAGTGCCTCTTGCCTACCCACAAAATAAAATAAAATAAAATAACACCCCCCACGGTGGAAGCAGACCCGTTCAGTACACTAACGTTACTTAATACAGCCTAACTGTTAAAATAAAGTGAGGCAATGACCTCATTTATAATATTCAATTAGTTCACCAACCGTTTCATTATCATCCAATCCATTTAGTTAAAAAACTACACATGGCCCCTTCAAACAGACAGGAGCATGTCATTATTAAATATCAGAACACACTTGAGCAAGGCACCAAAGCTACCTGTTTGTGCAGATGTATGTATCTGCTGAATGAAGTTTGGATATTGACTTGTCTGGGGCCACCAGGGGTCATCGTACTGGCGTCAACTTTGGGCCTCAGAGATCAGGTATCCTGCTGTTATGTAACCTCAGGGCCCGTTTTAGCATCCCAGTGTGTGCGCGCACACGTGTGCTGGTATCCGAGTGAGAACCGGAGTTTTCGACCTTCACAGTGAGGAAGGTTTTGGATGTGGCGTACGGGTCAGGTAACTTTGAGCGGCTGTCGAGAGACGGTTCCGGATCTTTCTCTCAATGCTGCTGCACAATACAGGTGAATGGCTACAGCGGTCACACAGTGGGTCTCTGTTGCAACGTGGGGACGGAAAGCGAGCATATTATTTTCACTAAGTTGCAGAATGTGGGCTCCTGCAGCAGCTGTGAGGCGCTCAGTGCCTTGCTCAACCGCACCTCCGTCTGAATCTAAAACACAGCTGCCTCCAAACACTTGTGTCATCACGCGCATATAAACCGACCAAACCCGTGTTCACATGGTCTGAGAACAAAAAAGTACACGATGCGGGTAAAGTATGTTCAACCGTGATGTATCCACTGGCGTGCAAGAGTGAGGCAGAAAATGTATGAATGTGTGTGTGTGTGTGTGTGTGAGTGTGTGCGAGAAACAGTGACAGAGTGGGAAGTCAGCCGAAGAGGGTAAATAAGCGCTTCACATCTGGGAACACTTATCAGCTGAAACCAAACTGTTTGTTACGTCAACAAAGTGTTTCAAGTGGATTTTTACCAAAAAACAAATACTCTAGCTAGAAAACTATTATTAAGACTAAAGTGTTTAGATTTGTTCACAGAGAAGACAGTAAATTAAAAAAACAAGAGTATGAGTATGACACTAACAATGGATGAATACTTGTGTTAAAGAATGTCTAATGGACAAATACTGTATGATATATTTAAAGTAAAGTAAAGTTGGAGCAACAGCAGAAGGGTTCTGAATCTAGAATTAAAGGCTTCATTTCAAGTTGGTAGCAGCACATGAAGTTAAATTAAGACTCTGCAAAAACAGTGATTAGAGGGATTAAGGTGTGTACGTGAACAGGGAGAGATCAAAAGTGCAACTCTGCCACCCTCTAGTGGCAGAATAGATAAATGCAAGCGTGAGCATGCAAGAGGTTGAGATAAAAATATAGAGTTTTAGGTTTAACTTTAAAGTTTTAACACACTTCACACTGAATATATTGTTGTGGTCTTATTTCTGTACACACACAGCTCTACAGGTGCATCTCAAAAAACTAGAATGTAGTGGAAAATTTATTTTTTCAAAGTGAAACTTTTTTATATAGTCTAGATTCATTCCAGTGAAGTGAAATATTTCAGAGCTTTAATCTTGATCATTACAGCTTATAGCTCATGGAAATCAAAATTCCAGTATGTCTACATATTTCAGAATTTTGAAATAAATTTATAATACAGAAATGTCGACCTGAGCAGAGCTCTAATTAGCTCGTTAACTCTGAACACCTGCAAAGGTTTCCAGAGCCTTTCATTCCCGTCTGGTTCAGTGCAGTTCAAATGAAATTTCCACGATATTCTAATGTTTTGAGATGCACCTGTATACACGTGCAGGTAAATATCCCATGGCTGATTTTGCTGTTGAGTCGTCTTGTTGAAGGTTTAGGGTTTCTAATGCCCCAATTAAATTTGCATCAACTAGAGAAAAATAAATCTGTCATTACAGAACTGACGAGAATTTGGTCAATGCTGATTCGTTGAAGTTTAAAGTTACATAAAATGAAATACTCGAGTAAAGTACAATTACCTGAAGCTTGTATCTCCACATAGTTTACCAAAATATTCTGATCAGTCTGGGAGTCAAAGCAGTGACATCTCAGACTGAGACACATACCGGCATGATCTGCTGCAGGTCGTCCAGGGTGGCGGGTGCCATCCCAACAAGGGCATTTTGGTCACATGGCACAGTAGGTGGACTGAGGAGCTTCCTGTAAGGGTGGACACACAAACGATTAAACTAAAATACATGATGACATTTTGATCAGTGCAGCAGTCCATTAACTAAATATTGTCACAGTAGGACAGAGGAACACGTGCGCACACACACACACACACACCTGTAACAGTAGAGTGGGAAGTGGATGTCCAGAGCGATGCTGTTGTAAACTGCCAAGCCCATCAGCTGGTAACACAGTAGGTTAAGGAGGAAGTAACTATTGACAGATCAAATACACAAAACACATTTACTGCAGCATGTACTTTCGCACTAGTTATTGTCTCGTCTTTTCTTTTGTACATTTTTGTATGAGGGAGCCTGAGAACAATACATCAACCTACATATACAGTGAGCATTCACAGGCAAACACGACACAATTATTATTTATTATTATTAAACCTTTATTTAACCAGGCAGCACACTTAAGAAAAACTTCTTATTTGTAAGGTCGAGCTGGCAAGATGGGAGTGGGAGGGGAGGCAAGAGATTAAAGAAAGAAAGGTACGGATACAGTGAGGGCATAAACAATACAGGGCAGCAGACAGAATAAATTACTCTGAGTGAGTGCAACATCTTAAAACCACCTTGTATAGTTCTCTTTAAGGAAAAAGACTCGCCATAAGTTAAAACTCTTTCGAACAGGCCTAAAAACACTTTGTAAAGTCTTGTTGCATGTGTCGAGAGAAATAAATTGATCTAATCATCACCGCGTTCATTTTAAAACATTAGTATAATTATCATAAACAAACAATCACCAGGAGTTTGCAGTGGCCTGTAGCATCTCCCTAAACTGACCCACATTTCATGAGCTCCGGTTTCACAAAGTGAGTAAAAGCTGGTGGACACGGACGCTAAAATGCAGCTGAAACATCGATCACATCAGACAGAAAACAGCTCGAGTGAAGACACGGCTCTTCTGCTGGTGTTCGGTCTCGTGTAAAATCTGACCTCATGGTTAATTTGACAGACTGCTGGGCCGCTACACGTGTGTTTTCTTTTATGGCAGAAAGAGTTTATTGTAACTTCATTGTGTAACTTCTGTGTGTGTGTGTGTGCGCACGTTTCTTGCCGAGCCAACACACACACATAAAGTGTTCACAGCTGCCACATGTGGTGACCATATGTGGAGGTAGACTGTGTGTCTGAACTGAACGCTACTGATTACAGGTAGGTGACACACACACAAATAAACAAATCTCCTACACACACACACAGGCAGAAAATAAACAAACTATACTATTACCACAACCATTAAGGTCATTAAGAAGTCAACGCCCCACCCCCCACGCTGACACACATATCAAAGAGGGTACCAGAAAAACATTTAGAGGCCCTCTTTCATTTATCTTCACTTTATGGGACAGGGATGTATAATAAGCTCTCTCACCCTCTTTATCCAGCTCTCTCTTTTTATGCCTGCTCTGTTTCACATTTTCCCTCTGAGTCTTTTTTTTCTACCCACTTCCTTCTATTTGCCAGACTGCTTCTTGGTGAAACAGCGAGATGAGCCGCAAACCATCGAGACGGTTTTCTGCAAATACTTGTACATAAAACAATCGACAACAATCAAAGTCAATCAGGTTTTATGTGACAATCATGACCAGATGAAGCAGTCAGGGAGGTCGAGGGCTTGTTGTGTTACTTTGTACAAACATTCATGGTTCCTAGATAATAAATCCTAATGTCGCCACCATCAAGGAAAAATTTTAATTAATTCAATACTTTAGTTTTTGACTAAATACTTGTACTGACATTCCCGTTGTCCTCAACTGTCCCTTTGGGTTTTGCTAATTAGCCCACAGGAGTAACTGATCACACCAGCGTGATCAAATCACACTTTGATGTCATCTCAGTTTTACCTTTTTAGGATACAGGTGATGTTGGGCTGGAAAAAAGATTCCAAACATTGGCATAGCAAATGTGTTTTAATGTGGTAATTAAGGCAAAATCAAAAGTAGATATTTCTGATACCAACGTTTCCTGCTCCAGGATCGATACTCAAAAGGATCGATATCTAAACTCAGCCATTTGGAGTGAGTGTGTGTTTTAATATAAGTATCTTACGGTCACCAGGATGGTCTAATTATAGGCTACTCGGTACATAGGAACTACTTTTACTTCCGCCTGCCAAAGTCATGCTCGCGCTACAGCTCTGTGACGGAGCTTCTTTGAAGTGAGCCGCTTTTACATTTCCCGCGCTTGAATACTGACTCTGGCTGTATTTTAGCTGTGAAGGTAACAATGACGCTGTGTGTGTGATGTGTGAGCAAAGACCGTGAAATACTTTAGCAACACCGCAAACGTCGCTAAACATCTGAGATTAAGTCAAAATAATATGACCTTATGAAGCAGCAGTTCTGGGCAGGATATTTTCATTATAATTAAAGAATATGAGTTATATAATATTAAGTTTGATGTCTTGTCGTTATGCAGCTATTATTTTGAATTGGTAAGGCTACAGCCTGCTCCTTATTTCTCTCATACATAGAGAAACGGGACGTCACATTAAACTAGAAATAAAATATGTATGAAATATAAGTATCGGTATCGGCAACACCAGCCTGGGTATTAACTTGGTATTGGATCGTATAGGAATTAAGTGGTATCGCACATCACTACTCCAAACCACGTTTGTCTTTGAAGAATTTATTAATAAGAAGTACTACAACATTAATCAGCTGGACGGTCACTAAAGTCTGGCCCCGAGCAAAGGGACGCATATTCATTTACACAGTCTAGGTTTCTGTGTTTTGAGGGAAAGAAAAACACTCAACAATCTCACAGCTAAACATCTACATCTGTGAACAGACTAATATAAAGAGTGTAATAAGAAAAGGTTAATAATAAATATGAGGAGAAGAAAGGGTTGAGGATAAATACAAACAAGACATAACATTAAGACTAATGATAATAGTAATGATAAAAACATGTATAAGAAATTAAATGTAAGAGGAATCAATTTTCAGGCCTATGCTGAAGCTTTAGAAATCCAATAAATACAGTGTTGATATGGACATTTCTGTTTGTTTATTTTAGTTTGAGACGTGAATCGACACATTTAAGCATCCGGCTCCAGGTTGCAATTATCTTTGTTTGATACTTGTTTTGTGGTACGATGTGTTTGTTTTATTAACATTTAAAGTTAGGGTAGGAAATTTTATTCAGAAGCTGGATTACAAAACTGGACCTAACCCTTAATTTGAGTTGAATCAAAGTATCACCCGGCACAGGAACACTGTACACCTTGCACAGACCGAGGGGAAACACGGGGACTGCAGTTCATTTTGGGCCTTGTAGCAGGTGAACACGGCCCTGCATCAGTCTCACCTGTTATTGATCTTTTTTGTTTACACCTGTTTATACCCTCTCTTTCTGTCTCACCCCCATCTCTCTGCAACACGTTCTTTCTGCTTGTCTTTTAGCTCTCGCTCTGGTTTTCTCTCCTGCGCTGCCTCTCTATAGTGAGCCAAAGCTACCATGGTGACTACACAGGAACGAGGGAGACTGATAAATTAGCTCTTAGCACAAGCACACATGTGGAACATGCATGGAACACCCAGGAGCACACACACTAAGACACACACATTACCCACCCTTCCTACTTTTTCTTTTTCTCTGCCTTGCATCTCTCCATCTGACTTTTTTTCTCTCGCAATAACCTGGCAAGGAGCAGGCAGCTATTAGGTTATATAACCTTTTGACAGTTCCCATCTGGCTCGTAACTAAGGCTAAAGTGCTGGATCGTTCTCCATTCACACAAGCTACACACAAACTGTATACACACACACTCGAACACACACACACAGTCTTGAAAGTACATTTTACAAATAGCAGGAACAGCAGCAGAGCTACCCTGCTGTGTTTGACACTAAGAAAGTGAGAGTCATGTATGGATGATTAACAGAAATGTATCAAACAACCACCTCATTTGTGCTTTGTATTAGAATAATAAATCAGCAGCACTATCATTATGGCTAAACCTTAAACAAGATCGTTGGTGTTTTCTGACTGGATGCAGAGAGAGATTTAGGCGGTGGCGTGAGGGGATAAAAAGTCGGCGGAAATATGCAAAGAAATGCAGGTTTGCTCTAGGTGAGTCTAAAGACACGTCCGTGTACTGTTAAAAAAGTTTTAAATTGAGTGAGAAATTAATGACATCGCTCAGCATGAAGAATAGAGTACAGTCTGTCAGCTCCTCCTACCATTTCTTACTCTCTGCTGCAACTTTCTAATGAATGTAGGTACACATGCTGTAGTTATTCTAAGTGTCGGGCAAAATAGGCCCATTTCCTGCTCAAACAAGGTGCAAGAGGGGGGAAAGTGTGCAGCTGTTTGAGGTGTAAAGCTGCTGGATACAACCCTGCCTCCAGTAAAGTAGATAACCATAATACTGATTTGAAACAACAAATCCATTATGAAACAAACAATGCTACCTGATTCTGTTTTTTAATAAGGAATCATTGTTAATTATTATATCTGACAAGTCACCAAGTGTTGATACTGAACAACAAAAGAATGCATAAACTTCTTCTAGTTATGTTCGATCAGGTTCTTTGTTTGAAACTGTAAAAGTAAGTAAAAAGTGACTTCATGCACGAGGTACAATGTGATTATTGTATAAACATTTAAAGCTGGGGTAGGCAATTTTATTCAGATGCATTTTTTGTTGAAAGTGTCTTTACATCCCGACACAAACAGTCATTTAATTTGGTCAGAATTAAATGACTGGCTGTCCCACCTGCTTGCCCGTACACCCACTGTGTGTGTGTTTTGGGGGAGTGGATTTGGAGAGAGGCGTAAAGGGAGGGGGTGGTTTTTGGGGGGATTGGATACTTTAAAAATCTTGCTCTCTCTTGCTAGTTCTCCAATGTTGCCTACAGCTTTACCCAAAGCCACGATCTTTCCCCTTACCCTAACATGCTCAGGTCCTGACTGAGTCCTGCTCTCTGTCCGCCCAGCTCCCCATGATCCATGACTGGATCAAAAATGAAACAGTAACTGGAAAATAAGATTTGCTTTTGAACACAACCCAGGCTGCAATTATGTTTCCTAACAAAACTCAACTGGCAAAACAAATTAGTAATATATAAACAGAATTTCTAGCACACAAAGTTGGTGGATATAAACTTCGAAATACTCCGTCTAGACATGGTCAGCGCAGAGCCGGAGTGTACATGTTTTAATAGGTTATTCACATGAATTACTTCAGTGCAATAGTAAAGTCAGTAGTAATAGATTTGCCCATGATTTACTACCCTAAATATTGAACATGCATGCTATGTAGGCTGCTGGTTTAGAGTACTGGCACTGCCAAAGCTGCAGGACTCTACTTTAAAGTATGGAGTAAAAATAAGAGAAACAGAACAGAAACAGCTGAAGTCCTGGTAAGATGTGAAATCAGTCTAAGATGAAGAACACAAATAAACACAGAGTCGATGAGAGGGTACAACAAACATCTGGCTGTTTGTTGTACGATTACAAAAACACTCCAGAGAAAACTACCTTCACATTCAATCGACACCTACACCTTTACCTTAAGAAGACTAAACCACTGCTAGCTGCAGTTATTGCCAATGTCTTTTACAACGCTCAGTTGAGCTTTAAAATGTTTTTGACGTATTTGTTATGTAAGAGCATGTGGGTGTAAAATCACTGAGGCCGTCTTGCTTTGGAGAAATGTTTCAGTGTGCAGATTTACAGCCTAAAACACACACATTATAGTATCTCTTTCTCCACTGTGGTTTAAAATAGAGGAGTAATATAGTATGTGGAGAGGGGGAAAAGAGAGGAGTTCCTGTGTGTGTGTGAGTTGCACATTACCCACAAAATAAAGTCTGTTTTGGAGTTTTTTGTCAACAGGAGAAAAAGACCTACAACCAGAAGCTGTGAGACCACTGAAGAGTAGGTTTATGAGATATGTATTGTCTACGAGAATATCTTAATTTAGTTTTAATGATGTGTAAACAGACATTATCGAGTTGTTTAGTCACTTTAATAAACAGCTTGTACGCGACTGTCAGTGCGTCATACATCATGTATGCGCTACACGTGTGCTAGAGTTAAACAGGCTGACAAATTCACCACTGAAGGTGAAAATTAGCGAACAAACAGCTCCAGGAGATCAAACACGGTCACCATCAGCCTTGTTAGATTTAAACCTCACTCGATGGATGTTGCTCAAAAGACGTCAATCCACAAACTAACCACCGCACAGTCTCAAGCGGATGAAAAGCTTTGGGAGTCAGCTGTCCACGACAGACCTGAACCAGCCGAGGTCCCGGCACAAACACAAACTCCGGTTCAAAAACCGCTACACTAATAATGATGGAATCAAAACCACTGAGACAACCATGACATTCATGAAAATACCCATTTCCATTAACATCATTAGTAAGCAACAATTAATATTCTACTAACTAGAGCGAGCCAGTACAATATTAGACAGCACATTTTTGAAAAATGCCAATTCTTGTCTAATTATTGGACAAAATCCAATGAAAATATCTGAGCTTTCCTTTTTGTCAATATTGCACACTCTTACTGAAGAACTATGAATGTATTGGGAGAACATAGGCTGCAGACACGAAACAAGCTATAATAGCTCATACTATTGATGTGAAAAAGTAAAAAAAAACCCACAAATAAATCATCAAAATGTGAAACCTGAACTAAATAAAGGATACAGTCCCAACCAACTGGAACTCAGAATAGTTGTCACACTTCCAACTGCTGAACCAATGGCAGCGCGAGTCCTTCATGTAGGTGAACATTCCTGAAAAATAAACAGAATTAGATTTAGCAGATCTCTGGTGATCAAAAATCAATAAAGCGTGGATGAATGAGAGATGGATGGACAAGGGAAGGAGGGGAGGTAAAAGTCAGGAGGGAACAAAGGGAAAATGGGTGAAAAGAAGAGCCCATATTTAGGAAGGAAGAATGACAAATTAAGCCACTGGTGGAATTAAGAAAAAAAAGTGATGGAGGACAGACGAAAGCCTTGAGGTAAGGATGGAAGGACAAAGCAGATAGAGCTGGAAGAAAACTTAAATGAAAAAACAAACAATAGAGAGGAAAGTGGAAACACCAGCTTCCACTTTCCTCTCTATTCATCTTGAAATGTTGAACTTGTTAGTAAATAGTTGCTTATTTACACATAATCCAGCTGTTAGGAAGCTAATTAAACATTCATTTGGAGTCCAGAGTTTCTGGTCACCTGGTGTCCAATAATCCCTCTTTTGGTTCTGTTTAGGGTGGGGTGGTGATGGAGCAGTGGATAAGACACATGCCTTTGGTGTGAGAGCGTCAAGCAGTTTTTTTTTTTTATTTCATGTTGAAAAACGAGAAGAGAGCGAGTCTTTCTGACAAATATAGGTTGGCGACCGTAAATAAGTAAGAACTTCTACGCAGCTGGCCACATGTTTAAGCATGTGTGTGTGTCTAAAGCCTTTCAGACGGCGAGCGACGCACCGCCTGCGGACTCTCTTGGATCCGTTGCGTCTCACTGAGCTCCTCATGTGAACAGACAGGCAGACAGCCACTATATAGGCACTAAGTATGGCTACGGCTTCTGTGTGATGCTTTATTTCAACCAGCGGCTACAACTTTATAGGCTACAGAAAACATATGTCTAGTAGAAATTATTGAAAGATAGTTGTGTGTGTTTTTGTGCTGTGTGCTTTATGGACACCGTATGATTTGTAGGAATGTACTTACATTCATTGTTGTAGCTTATCTTCAAGTTCAGAGAAGGTGTGTGTGACATTTTTAGATACTTTTGATATGATTGATGTTTGAATTTAAAGATGATAATTTGAACATCTGAGCAAACTCTGTATATCTCATTCTCTTTTTTAAGTGTGTAGGCTCATTGCTTTTTGTGTCTTGCCTTGTACATTTGTATGTGCAATTATTGGTGTGGCTATTTCTAAGGAGTTTTTGAGGGTGCACCCATAGCCATTGCATACCTTGAAAGCTCAGTGTTCAAATAGGCTTGCTCAGTCCCAATTGACTGTACTTAATAAATTTCTTCCCAGATGAACATGGTGGGAAAATGTATAAATAGTTTGGTACCTGTTACATCAACAAATTTAGTTAGTCTACAAACTTAGCGGTCTGATGGTCAAACTCCTGGCCTGAATTATTGTGCCAGTCACCCCTGGCTGAGTTTACTTAATGAATTTTTCCAGTTAGGGGCCACAGGGCTCCTAGTAAAAAAAGTTAGTCTAGAGCCTTGTTGCTGCTGAGCAGGTAGTATAAGTGTACAGCGGGTTTTTGGAGGTTTATTTCTGAAAACAGCTGCCCGCCGCCCCCGTAAACCACGTTATGGGAGGTGAGAGTGAAACACAAGAGTAAAGTTGCAGCCGGAATAATAAACAATGAGCTGAAAGTCACCTCAACGCTCCGGAAAGTTGAGAGGAGCTGCAGATTGTCACGCCGTTTTCAAACCGTCATTTCATACATCGTATTATAAACATGTCAGCTGTAGCTGCTTTAAAGAGGGAAGCACTCACTGGAAGATTTACTTTAAAATTAAGAAATAAGACTAAAGCTGATTATAAAAACAAAGACAAATATTGCAAAGTGCTAAATAACAGGCCTCTGATACACTTTTAATAACATCACAGTTAACAAATCTGCATTGTCTTGAGTATTTCGCTACACACCACTTACACCTCGTCAACATTCAGTCTGTGTTCAGTTTGTGATGTCTGAGTGTCAGAGGGTTAACGACGAGGTAGTTCGGTAGAATAAACTCGACAGGATTGTGAAGCGCTGAAGCTTTTCCAGCTCCGACTGAGTGAAACAGCAGCAGTCTGTTCTGAGCGGCGACACACATCTGGACCGCTCACATCTCTGAACACCAGAAACTGACACCGCTTCACGCATACGTAAAAGAGCCTGTGTTTGTGTGTGTGTACACCTGACTGTGCGCAGCTCGGTGTGTGTTTGTGAGGCAGAGCCGGGGCTTTCCCTGTGCTGCTAATGAGGGGAACACAGCTTTCATTGAGTGTGTTGCTTTGGGCCGACGTCCCCTGGCACCAAAAACACAGACGACCGCGGAAAGACGATGGAAAGAACAACTCGACGAGAGGGGAGAGAGACACAGATAGAAAGTAGGAGAGAGAGAAGAGGCAGATGCACAGACAGATGTTCGCTTGGTTTCCATTCAAGTACTTTTTATGCAAATTCCACTGTACTGAACAAGAAAGGCAAATCTTGGGAGAAAATGTTAAATCAATATTTTGAATAAAGGTTTATAACATCACATGACGCGAGACTGTTTCTTGTGGTTAAAGGATAATTTGGAGCAATGATGACGGAAACAAAGAGGACAAAGTTCAGCTTGAATGGATTTTGGTTAAAATAATGTTGGGAACAAAGGAGGAAGTCAGGGGGTTGTTGGGAGGATTAATGGTTAAACAAAACACCGGACTTTAAACACCGGACTTTAATGCTAATGGTGGTGATGGTACAGTGGATAAGACACATGCCTTCGGTGTAAGAGACCCAGGTTCAAATCCACTGTGAGACACCAATGTGTCCCTGAGGCGTGCCACCTCTGATACATAAGAGCGTCATCTAAAGTAAATGTAATGTGGACTGTCTGACGGGCAGGGGTGAAAAAAACAAAACAGGCACCAGCTTCACATGTTGGTGCAAAAATCTTACGATGCATATCTGTCGGAAATTCATGCCTTTTAAGCATCATCAAAAGCTAGCATATACGGTCGTATTCTTGAGCACTCCCAGGAATTAGATGTCCGCACAGCATAACTTTGGCAATAGTCATTCATAGATCACAAAGTCCTATTGGCCCCTCTGGGATTTCTGTCCTTCTTTCAGAGGGCACTTCATCATGTTTTGTTGAATATATGGCACACGGCAGGCACTCTTCCACATTTCCTCACACAAAAGGTGCACCCTAGAGGGCACTACGGCACATGTTTTCCACTGAAAGGGCACCCGGCGGGCACTTTACCACATTTTCTCACACACCGGGCCACCATAGAGGGCACATTATCTTGTTTATTCACAAATGGGGCACACTTTTGCAGCATTTATTTGTAAAATTTGGGGAAATGGGGGGTCAATCGCCCCTGAGCCCACCACTGTTTAACACAGGAGACTGATGTCCGCTTCCCATTTTCAGTCAACCATCAAGGTTGTTGTTTTTAAAGCATGACGGTGATAAATTCACTAACGTTAACCAAGTGTTCATTATCGTAATATGATGTGACGACGAAGACCCCCCAACCAAAACATAGCATGAGCAAAAGTCAAGCAAAACCACGACTGTTCCCCAAAAAAACAAAGTAGTTTTTTGTGCCTAAACCACAACAAACAAAACTTTAACCAGAGTGTTATCGTCCTGCCAATAATGCCGTCAGATCAGAAAAGAAGGAAACGTTATGTCTCATTCCAGCTAGCATGCAGAAACAACATCTTTTAATTTGGAAGACTTGTGCTAAACTTGCTTCTTTGATAAAAAATAAGAAGAGAACACTCAAGACCCACCAATGTCCCCACTTTTCAAAGTCACCACAGGCACTGAAGCGTTTGACTAGGATATTAAATTGGAAGGTTGGTTCTGATAGAAGATTAAAGGATCAGACTGGTGATATTCTATAGTTTTCCTTTTCCCAGCAAATCCCATGAAAAGCCCAAAGCACCAATGAGTTTAACCTACAAACAGGTACTTTGTGCGTATCAAAGCCTGATACAGCTTCTTTCTCCGAGACATAGAGCTCCTGTATTTTCAAACAAAGTTTATTAAAACCCATCAGTGAGCCTCACTGCTACATTGGGTGACATGCTCCTGCATCAGCATAAAGGTCATAGTTCTAAGCCCGCCTGGACAGCCAGGATATAATGGGTTTTTACGTGGTGATCCCAAGTAAAGATTGAACTTAACAGACTCCTGCTGCATAAACCACTTTTCCACCATTCAGCCGTACAGTATGTGCAATAAGATCCAACCAGCCTTACATTAATGGCTGTGTGATGCAAATTTACACTGTTATACAAGCTGCACACTCACTACTTTACATTGTAGCAAAGTGTCATTTCTTCAGTGTTGTCACGTGAAAAGATTTAATCAGATATTTACAAAAATGTGAGGGGTGTACTCACTTTTGAGAGATGCTGTATATTGCATGATTTCTTGGAAATAACGGTCGTTTGGAACATACCTATAATGTGGGTTGACGGCAAAGATGCGGATGGTTCTGTGGAGTGGTTTGAGAAGTTTCTAGTGAAGATTTGTTGCTTTTTCTTAACTGTGAAACTGTCTTCATTAGAATCCGTTGTGGCTGCTGTGAACTGAAACTGACTGCAGCTGCTCAAAAGGAGCAAGATACAAACTTTTCAGAACTATTTCACCACTACAGAGGGTTAGAGGTCGATACTCAAAAGATCGATATCTCCTGTGGCCTGTTCCTCTGACATAGCAGGGATGGAGGGGGATCAGGCACAAGAACGCAAACAAAGAAAGACAGAGGCGATAACAGAAATAATTAGAGTCAGTAAAGACAGGAGAGTAAAGTGAAACATAATGAGATGATCCAGTGCTGAATTTCCTAAACCAACACTGAGCTGCTTTTCTCAGCCATCTGACACCTAGTCCTGCTGCAGCTTCACAGACCTGAAAACTCTGAGCTTGTCCTCTGAGACATCCAACTAATAAAAACGTACTTTCCATTTTTGTCTAGTAAAAATTTAATTTCCTTTCCGCTTGTTTTCAATAAAGTATAGCTTAACTTTCCATTGACTTTGCATCAAACTGGATTTACCCTCCAGATTCTCAGACATCTCTTGCTCTCCGCTTCTCCTTAAAAGACCTGTTGAAAGATCCCAGCTTTTCCATTTTCTTTGTTCACACTTGATTTATAGTTCCCTAAGAATTATATCCAATAAGACCACCTCAAGGTGTGTGATGTCATCGATGCCAAAATGCTTACCGACATCCCAGACCAGACTAGTGTGAAATGAAAAGTGCGTCTCACCGTAGTCTGTGTGGAAGATCTGTCGGACCAGCAGCAGGAACCACTCCTTCGTCAGGCCGCCCATGTCCAGCCCCGCCTCCCCGACAAACGTCACCCGCAGCTTCTTCTTCAGGTCGCACCGCTTCCTCATCAACTATGGACAGAGACAAACGAATCGATCTGGTTCAACAAAATCTAATAACACAAGTTCAATTTTAACTTCATTGTTGTTTTTTTTATGTTGTGTTGCACACAAATGGTTTTGAAACCAATGTTTTCACTCTACTACATCATCTATACAGCTGTTTCATTAAAACCTGAAAACGTTCTGATCATATATTCCTAAATGTCAACAGACTAAATAACTTCCCAAGAAGAGAACCGCGTGGACAAACTTAAACACATATGGGCTTAATCTCGGTTCTTGAAGAAACTAACATTTATCATGACGCTCAGTCTAACCTAAACCTAACACATGAACGCAGAATATTAAAGGCATATAAGCTTATCCATTTTTTTCTGTAGTTCCCAGACAACAAAATTGCTGTTTTTCTCCGATTATTAAATATTTTTTTGCTCGTCATCAGAACCTCATAAGAAGCTAAACTGTCCAGTTTCCACCAAAGAATTTGAATACTACCTCAGAAGAGGAAACACAAACACACTACTTGGGTTACATCCATCAAATTAAATTTCCCCCTAAAAATCTTCCCTTTCTCCCTTCTAACTACTCACCCTTTAACTGTGAGCCATTCATACTGATATGATCTATAACACTAGTTTACAATTGTTAAAAACAAACAAACAGCCTCACCTGGTAAGTGTTATATTTAAGGAACTAAAAGTTATCAGGTCTTCATTCCAGAAATGTAAGGAATAAATCACATATATATGAAAAATATGCCTGTTTTTGTTTAATTGTGCATGCAAGCCTTTCCATTGCTAAGCTTGACGACAGCTCATTAATCCAAAGGTTTACAGATGGACAATAAACACTTATATCCAGCAATAAGAACCAACTTGCTTTCACATTTCCTGAGGGATGATGTTTCAGCAACAAGACCAAGGATCCAGATGTCTGGGCATCCAGGGATTGCTTCAGATTATATTTCAATTTAATTAACAAAATGAAAAGTGAGTTAACAGAAGAAACATCTAAATCAAATCAGTATTTGGTGTGACCACCCTTTGCCTGTTTGGATGACAACAGCGCCTTTGTTCGCTTCCAGCCTTGACAGAGAATTAACTCCCTGGTGTTCTCATACATAAAAGAATGAATTCTCTGCAGAGGAAACATGATTCTTCTTCTCAAGCTTCTTTGTGAATTTATTATATAGTAAGAGCTCATTATGTATTTCTGCTTTTATGAGTACAGATGTGACAAGAATACGAGAGTGTGTGTGCGAACTAGTGTTACTTTTGTCAGACGAAACAACCTTTTTTCGAGGATCGACGATGATGAGACGCCGACAATGTCCTTAAACACTGACAATCTTAACGTGCAATATTGTTGACGAAAAAATGACAACACTAAAATGGAATTAATAAAATAAAAACGTTAATAAAATCTCTCTTTCTTTTTGTCAGTATAATGAGAAGACAAGATGCTCCAGGCCACATTTTCTCCCTCTAAATTTTCACTCAAACAGCGTGTTCATTCAGCGGTATTTTTCTCTCCCTGCGCTTTGAATGCTGGGCGACCGGGGCGACGCCTGGTGGGGGAGGAAAACCATTACTGTGGAGGATGCGAACTCTGGTGACGCACACAACATGCTTGGTCCCATTTCTAATACAGTGAGGCGGACAAAATAACAGAGCGCCTAATTTTATTGGACTGGAAAAAAACACCACGAACTTATTAAGCGCCATTTTAAGGCTGACCACCCGGGAACTGAGGTAATTAAACGTCTCCTTTGCAAAAAAATGAGAACAAAGCTAACATTCAAATTTTACAAAACATTTTATACATGTGAGATGAGTGAAATTGAGTCTAAAACGATAAATATTTTTGCTATTTTGGTTCCAGCAGATTGACCAAAATGCAAATCAAAATAATACTAATGGGTAAGAAAAGATGAAAATGATGGTTAATGACTAAAATACTTTTTAGTAAACTAAAACTTGATAAAAAAAAAAAACCCAAAAAACAAACTAGTATTCAGTGGACTAAATATGACAAAAACTAACAAGGACATTTGACACAGGACTAAGACTAAATTTTTAAATGGCTGACCAAATTAATACTAGTGTGTACAAACCTCATCCAGTGAGTCGCTGAGGAGTTGTGCTCGTCGTACTTTAATGTTGAGGAACAGAAGGTTCATGTCCACTCTCTGCCTGCGAGAAACCTTACTGACCAGGCTTTGCTGTGAAAATCACACACACACACACACACACACACATTTAATGTCCGTAGACATGCATTTGTTGCTTGTGTACATCCTTTCATGTATCTGTATTACTGTACTTATATCTTTATAAGGACCTTGTACTGTGAGGGAACATTTGGAAAGTGAGGTCCTCACTTCAAAACCAGTGTAAGAGTAGAGGCTGGAATTCAATTTAGGTTAAGTTACATGTATGATTTAAACAACGTTCCTCGCAAGTAAAGAAGTACGAATATGTTTGCATGTGTGTGAATGAGCGTCTCACCCTGGCCTGACTGATCATCTGTTGCTCAGAGTCTTTCTGGATGATGGCTTTCTTCACCACAGTCGAAAGGATGAAGGGAAACTGACAAAAGGAGAACCTGAGAAAGGACAAGAAGAAATATGAAAACTACAAAATTTTGGCTTTACCAAATTGAGCAGGCTCTGAAATCTACACCCACCAAGCCCGACGGGAGCAGAATTCCCCACCGCACCAGCCAAGGACTTTTATTTCCTTTTGATTTCCTTTATCGGACACTAACGAGACGTGACGCAGCGTGAAACAGACTTCACGGCTTCTGAAAGCGTTTCCATAACTCTGGATAAACTGCAACTGTGGGAACGTTACTTTGTGTCTGCTCAGGAGGAGATCCTCAGTCTGACTTCCAGCCAGAATCATCAGAAGGAACTCTTGGTCACGGGTAGAGCTTCGTCAAGCTAATGTCACATCTGTTAGCATTTCGGGTCGTTCCCTGGGAAAAGTCACTACAGAGAGTCTATTCCACTGCTCCATCATATATGATCCATTTATCACTAATTTACTTGTAGTATAGAGTATAAACCAACTACTATTACTACTATTATTTTTCCTGCTGATATGATTAGTCAATCAATCACTTTGTTGACAGAACTATCATCGAACTGAATTCAACTAAATATTATTTGGTCTTGAGTGCCGGTTTGCCAAAACAAGCACTCAGCAGGCGTCACTCCCGGCTCTGGCATGCATGCATGCATGCATGCATATATATATATATATATATATATATATATATATATAAAAAAACGGACATTTTTCAGTATTATTGTACAATTTATAGATTAAATGATTAATTGATTAATGAAAACAAAAACACATTTCCTATTAAGAGTTGACTTTTCATGATACTCTCTGAAACTAAACTGTAAAAAGGAGGTTACGGCCATCAGATATATTTCTACACATTTTCTGAAAAGGTACGTGGAATTATAAAGTATTCTGAGCACTTTGTTGCTGCAATCAGGAAAACAAAACTCTGCACCAAAACTGCTGACTTGTTCCAAAAACCAAAAGTGAATTTTTTATCAAAAAAAGTTTATCAAACATGTTCTACAAACTTGACCCAGCAAAAAGCAAAGATCATCTCTGATTGGATGTTTCTCACAGCAGTCCTCTCTCTCCTGAAGCTGTCATGGACACAGTCTTTTCAATGAAGCAGAACTTCTACATCTCAGCGTCTCATTGTTTGTACTCATGAATGAACCAGGACAGTGTTGAAATGTTCCGACAGACAGTCAATAATACAATCCAATATAACATTGTTTATGGGAGAAATGCACCCTGGACAGTTGATATTTTCCTGCCCACTGTCCTACTATGCTGCGTGTTCTACACAACAAGTGTCTTCTTCTGCTGTCTGGATTGTTCATTTGTTTAATATATTTTCAAACTGTGGGAACACACAACAAGCCAACAAAAACACTGCTGTGAGTTATGGACCAACAAAATCTCTGTCAAGCAACAAATCCATTTTATAGCGCTCGATACAGGCAGAGTGATGTTTTCTACCAAAAATCAAACAATATTTTAGTCACTTGGTTTTAATTTACCAGGCATGGGAGCAGTTCCTGACACATTCAGTCATTTTAGTGAGAGTCAGCCAGACGGAAAAGCCACAGACAAATAGCTGACCTATTTGAATTGCCGTAGTTCTGCCAGGTCCTGTACTCCTCCATGAAGTCTATGTGCTCCAGAGTGATGTTGTAGAAGTCGGTGAAAGGCATGATGGGAGGAGAGGAGACACTGTTGGCTGCATCTGAGGAGAGAGTAAGTCAATTGTGTCAAAATGACCCTTGGCATTTGCGTTACTGTTCTGCGTTACGCTGATATGAAGGCGTGTGCGAGACTCACTGAACAGGCCGAGCACTTTGGTAGCAGAGGGAATCCACCAGGCGCACTTGGCCAGAGGAGGAAATTCGTCTGGTTCTGCAGGAAACAGACGGGTGGAGATGAACTGCAGGAGGCGCTCTACCAGCTGCCTGAAACGCCTCACCGACAGCCTGACACACACACACAAAGTTAATATTGGTTAACATCAGCAGTTTGGCAGAGTCACAAACTGCACACACCCGAAAATATACACATGCACAAGAATAAACCGTTAATGTACACTTTAAGAGAGAAAAAATAACAGCGTTGGATGGAGAAATTGGGTTTTTGGATCTGAGCACAACTGAACAGAACTTGTAATTTGAACCAGCTCGCTTGTAAATCATCACCACAAAAAGGACGCATTCTTCAGGGCTCCTAATTCAGGCTGAGAGAGACGTACAGAGCCCGGCTTACATTCATAATTGTAGGCTGTGTGTCAAGTTTTAAAAGCTGCAAGATCTGATTAAACTGGCAGGGAGTGGATTTTGTTTTTTTTTTAAATATAGGAGTAACTTTAACAGCTAACTTTACGTTGAAACACGGTTGTGGAGTTGTAATGCAGAAATAGTACATCTAACCTTTGTTTTACTCTGAGTGAACACCAGCTTAACCACATATCCATTAGTGTCTCTCTCTGTCTGAACACATCTGTTGACCTTGGGGAGTATTTGTTGTTTAAAATGAACTAAATGTGGTTTTAGTGTGATCAGAATTTATCATTCTTTGAATTGTAGGGCTGCACACTGTTTGAATCCCAGTGACAATAAAAACAGATACCAAAATAATGTTTAATTTTGTCTTAACACAGAAGTTTCTAATGAAATACTCCGACCTGTCGAGGCATCGACTCCACTAGACCTCTGAAGGTGTGAATCTGGCACCAACACGTAAGCAGAAGACACTTATGCAACAAACTGCTGAATCCTTTCTACCAGAACCAGCATCAAATTCTTTTCAGCAATTTGACCTACAGTAGTTCGTTTGTTGGGTCGGACCACACGGGTCAGCCTTCGCTCCCACCCATGACCCTGTCGCCGGTTCACTGCTTTTCCTTCCTTGGACCACTTCTGATAGGTACTGACCACTGCAGACGCTCTGATCCAGTCGCCTAGCCATCGCAGTCTGACCCTCGTCAAAGTCGCTCAAAACGTTACACTGCCCATTTTCCCTACTTTCCACGGCTGTGGCTCAGGTTAATGTTAGTTTCTGTTTGAGCGCTTAGGCTGAGTGTGTGAATGGGTAAATGGGATGTAGCGTAAAAAGCGCTTTCAGTGGTCACAAAGACAGAGCATTCAGATTTACATTTGCTGCCTAATACATCCCACCCACTGCCACGGTTATTCACTTCACCTGTCAGTGGTCATAATGTTGTGGCTGATCGGTGTATATGATCAAAGAATAAGTAAACAAAATTAAGCATTTGTTCAAGTCTGCCAACTCTTGACAGTTTTCTTGACTTGTTGCTGTAAATTGATTTCAGTCAGAACTCCAAATGCATTTACCCCGTCCTAAAACAGTACTGGCAGGGCTGTATACTACATCTGGGCAAAGGCGAGCTTAAGCCTTTGATGGTTTCTCCAGGCTGGGTAGGGATGCCACACACATGACAAACAACCGTCTGACCAGGGTTGGTTGGACAGTAAAATGGTACTAATGTATATGCAGCATACTTGAATATAGCCAACATGTCTTTACTGCCGCATGAGCCCACCTCCTCAGATTAGAGAGGAAAAACAAAGATCATGATGAAAAACAAGTCGGTGGCTGAAAAGAATGTAACTGCTGCAGTTTGGGGTTTGTATTAAATGACATGAGAGATTCATCAAAGCTGGAAGTGGTGTGTGATATTTGCATAAAGAAAGTGAGCCAGAGCAAAGTACTTCCAGTTAGAGATGGAAACACTTAAAATTTATGTTGCCATCACACAATAAATCACTTGCTAAGCCTGCAGCAAAGACGAGATGACAAGGCTCAATCCGCCTACACATCCAGAAGTTATTTACAGAGGCCCCAAATCACAAATGTCCCTCAGACGGCTTTACAATCTGTTCAACATACAACAGCCTCTACCCTACAGAAGGTAAAGAAAGTATACTTTTGCTTTAATCCTGCTGTTAAAGAACCCATTTCATTTCTGTGGCACTTCAAAGGTTTAGGTAAAATTTGCTGTTCAATGAAAACTCAAAGGAAGACAGGAAGAGTAAGGTTACATGCACAGACAGAAAGCTATGGCAACTTGGCAGCAAACCAACATTTAAAGGTTGACACACACACTTACTTTTTGAGCCAGTGAACCAGGAAGTGGTGGTCGGCCTCAGACAGAGCTGCGATCTGTCTCAGCAGGTGAGCGTAGATCACGTAGGTGCTGGTGCTTGAATACTGGGGGTTCTGCACACACACACACACACACACACACACACACAGCGATATATCATATTGTGATAAAGCTAACCACTCACATATCTGGCCTTGAAACTACCGTCTTCAGAAGATCCAGCTCCTGAATTGGGACACACACAGCTGGTGAACGGAAAAAGTGTCCATCACACTCAAACCTCCAGGGTTTTCAGTCTGCACGCTATCATAAATAAAAAAAATAATTGCGGGTTTATTACAACTTGGATCTCATTCTGGTTTCTATAAGTATTAAAAACCATTTCACTCACCAAGTTAATACCTCAGATCTGGGAATGTGGCGACATCACTAAGTCGGATGGTCAACCAAAAACATGAGCGCTCAAGCGATCAGACAACAAACCCCCAGACAGACTTATTTGGAAGAAAAAATGAAACCATATGGCAAAAATAAATGTCCATGTCAGACTTCTTTTTAGCAATGTCAGCATGTTCTCAAATCTGAGCGATTAACTTGGTTGTAACTGAAAGAAATGTTGGACAGAACCACAAAAATAAGCCCAGAGGTCCATTGTGAACATGCTACATGCTCCACACACAGTTAATATTTAGTAAGAGACAGCTGGGACACTGTGAAGGTAAACTAAAAGATCGAGTACAGCTGCTGTTGTTGTGTTTCTTTCAAAAGACATGACTCAGTTTGACTTTGAGAACACAAGGTTCTGTCTGTTAGACTGGTGTTTGGATGCAATAAAATAATAACAAATTACATAATAAGTGAGATAATCCCAAAGAGCTCAATTCAGTCTTTACAGGGTGTTATCACAGGGATGAAGAGAGAGAGAAAGAAGAGCCTATAAAGAAGAGGGAGTCGTCGTCAGGCAGGAAACCAGCCGTCCTCAACTCCAACATGACCTCACCCAGTCCCAATCTGTGTGTGTGGTTGTGTTCTCCTGAGAGTTGGAAGACGAGGCGAGTCGTCAAAGTCAAATGGGACAAAAAAAAAATCAGACATTTGGCCCGTGTGCATGTGTGCGCTGATGGAGCGTGGAACCACAGTGGAACTACTGCAGATTCCTGTCTTTATCGGAGTCTAATTCCCAAAACCATATATGGAAATCAGACACGAGAGAGAGACAGAGAGAGATCAAAAATAGGATCAAAGAAAGGAGCCCACAAACAGAAAAGGGCAGAATAAGAACGAGACAGAGAGGTACGAGATGAATATTTCTGTCCACCAGCAATGATAAATAAAAAAAAGATGAAAAAAAGATGGATGGAAAGGGCGTGGGAAAGAAAGAAAGAAAAACAGTTGTTGTAGTCATAAATCCAGTGTTAAATAAGTATAAATTAGTATATTTATACAGAAAGTATGGGTGTCGTGAACAACTTCCCAGCTGACACAGCGTGGAGATCTAGAGAACCACGGCAGCAAATGAACAGCCGCCAACAGTATCGATGAATGATATTGATTCGTGACAGCATGCATCTGTGTGCAACACTAGCAGAGCTGCTCTGGATTAAAAAAGGCTTTGCCTCGGTTTCAGTGATGTTTCTTAGGTGGAGATGCTGTTGACGGGGCGTCCTGGCGGGCTTGTGATATATAAAGGGCCAAAGTGAAACTGGAAGGAAGAAAACCTTATTCAAAATACCACTGGGATTCGCAACTACACTAATAACTAAAAATCTAGCCAATGAACAGAGTATTTCTTATTAGTATGTTGGGTGGGTCACTTCATGTGTTTAGATAAGGACATTTTTTTTTGAAAAAACACATAATATTCGTGTTTCTTCAAGGTTTACATTTTAAGCACCCTTTAACGATACACCATTTCCCATAAGCCCTAGATGTCTGCAGGCTAAACGTCACGGCTCGATAGAAGAGCCAGGCTGCCGTCCCTGCAGTGTTTTCTGTGCTCGCAAAGTAATCATTGTGTCTGTCATCAGAAGTTCAACACCTCTTAAGATCTGCTTAACTGATGCACAATGTATATTAACCTACAGGTCACCATATCAACAATAATGATGCTGCCCACAATCAGTTCACACATCAGTTTCTTTATTTATCCAGTAACCTAAACATCTGTTGTTTTAAAACGGACTTCAAACACACTTTCAATCAAATCAAGCGTCCACACTAGCTCAATAATCCGCTCCACCGTGTCCTGCAGGGAGTATCACTCTCATATGTAGCTTTCTTCCTCTCCCCACCTTTTATTGTGATATAACCGGACACCTTGGACTTATCTTTACTGTGTCTGGAGGAGTTTCAGTCTCACCTGAACAAGAATGAAATAAGCCCGCAGGTCATCTTTTGTCCGAGGCCTGAAAACACAGACAAACCAAAACCTGTCACAGAAAAAGAGCACTGCAACAAAACCAAGCTAGGCAAGCTCCGTCTTTGTGCTAATCCAGGATTAACAAGAAGGAGCCGTACTGAAGAAACAGAGAAACTAACTACTATAAGAGAGCAAGTGAATTGTCAAAATCACTGAATATTCCTTTAAGCCTAAGTAGAGCAGTTCTCTAAATGTTCTAGCATTAAACTGTTTGGCATCATCCATTTTACTTTACTACTCTATGAATTTAAATTACCATATTATCTGATTTATGTTTGCATTGTTGGGAATGCAGTTTAAAATGCAGACATATTCTCACCCTTTCCACTCCCTCAGCAGGCTGTTGATGATCCCTTTCAACACTGACTTCTGGATGTCCTGAGGCTAAACACACAAGCAAAAAACATATTCAACTTCCAAAACAGAAAGAATCAGGAGAAGAATGTCGGTCGCACGAAAAGAAACGCTGGTCTAACCTTTACTTAAACAGAAAGAACACAGAAGTGTTTAGGAAAGCTTGAAGAGAAAAGATCCTCGGCTGTTTTTACATTCACTGAATGAACTGACTAATCCAGGTAACACGTGTTGTTACAGCTTGTTTTGGGGCGTCATTAATGAGCATCTCCTGTCATCTCAACAAGTCAGCAAGTACCTGACGTTTTATACAACTTATGTGTGACAGACTGACCAACGCATTCTCACTCCCAACTCGTCACATTTTGACACTTTGTCACGGCTTTTTAACTCCCTGGGTAACCCGTTAGTGTCACTGTTTAAGGTTAGCAAGTTAGCAACGCTTAGCAACAATAAATATGCAATGTCCGGTTAGACTTTCAATTTTGAAACGGCACGTTATTAAAGTTGTGAAACGTTGCAATTTGGTTAGGTTTAGGCAACAAAACTACTTGGTTAAGGTTAATAAAAGATCATGGCGTTGGTTAAAATGACTACGTACGTCAGTTACCACGCAAGTTAACCAACGTACATTAAGAACCATTTTGTTTTGTGACATTTTGTTTCAATGGGACACGAACCCCGGACTTCTGGTTCAAAGTCTAGATTCTGGCCCTCCATCCACCCCAACCACCTCCTTACTCCGTCTTTTCTGTTAAATATCATATACCTGCCTTTACCGTCAAAAACAGACACTACAGGGCTTCCCCACTGCGCTGAACTGTGACGCTATAGGGATCCCCAGTGCGTTACAAACTGACGCCGATGGGTCTTGACCAAGCGTCCATATGTGACGAGTCGGGGAGTGAGAACAGGTTGTGATGTCATGATAAAATACATTATCCTTTGCAAATGTCCAATGACTTGGTGGCGGTTCGAAACCTGAAATGTCATGGTTAATGGTGAGATATGAGCACCATGTCTTTGTTCACAAGCCTGTATGTGTGTTGGTTTGTCGGAGTGGTCTTGCTGTCACATGCTTACTGTGCTGAGCAGTGCGTCGTAAACAGCGTTGACAAACTTGGCGTTGACTCCCGAGTCATCTATGGTGTTAAACGATCCGTTCGCCTCTCGCTGGGAAAAGACAGAGGAGGGAGGCAAGAAACGGAAGGAGAGAGACAGCATGAAGGAAAAAACTGCTTTCCCATCGTAAAACAGTTATGGCGTCTGGGGAAATTTTAAAAGCATCTAAAACAGTTTTCTCACAACAGGCATGCTGCTGAGAGCCAGATTGCGTGTGTGTTTATGTGTTCTACCTTAAAGGCAGCGTTGATTTCTATGAAGGAATCAAAGGTGGTCAGGTAAAACTCTCGGACCTCCCTCCAGTCACCTGATTGGACGGCACCCTCCATGTCCTCTCTGGCAAACACAAACACACGATGCTGATAAAGAGAAACCAGGCTTGGCTCCAAAATAACTAAAGAAGTGAGGTGGGTTTGTTTCATGGGGAGTTTTTAGCAGAAAACTGACAACAGTCTTAAATGTTCAGGGAACTCACAGAAACTCCTTGGTGGTCTTGGTTCGCAGGGGGATGATGGGGTCGGAGGGAAACGGAGCTTTGACCTCTGGGGGCAGAGTGTCAATGGAGAGCCGCTGCTTTTGGCGAACATCACTGCAGATCGGAGGCAGCTCTCTCCCTGAGACACAAAAAGACAATAAACCCCTCATTAACTCTGCTTCCTCTGAGACATGCAAGGATCACTGCAGCTCTGAGGAAGTTCAACCTACTCAGAGTCAACTCGGGGTTATCAAGCAAACTCAGGGTTCACAAACTCTGAAGTTAAACGGTACCAAGATGTTAGTTAGTTAAGTCGGAGCTAACTTAATTAGAGTTGGTGCGTGTTTGCATAAAGAGGGTTGTATTCAGCCGTGCAGGCAGGCTCATGCTCCGTATTTCTCCAGAGGAATGCACGTTGATTGTGTCAGGAAATTATGATTGTAAAGAAAGTTAACGGCTAAATCTAATATCGTGGCGGCCGACAAAGCCAGGGAGGCTTGTTGGCATCGCGTGGAGTAAATTTGTAGCCTAATTATCTTCACAGTGTTCTCATTGTAGTTCAAATCTCTTATGTATTTTATGGGCTCTTCTTTTATGTGTAATATGATTAAGATGTAAAGGTACAACTGCACATTATGTCCATTGCAAATAGAAAAAAAAAAAAAAAAAAAAGGAGCCAGTGGAGAGGGGTAATAATCCGAGACAGAGATTAATCTAAGAAAAAAAACTTGACTAGGCCTATTCTCTGGTGGGAAATTATATTAGACTTCACAGTCAGATTTAGCAGTGAGGAAACAGGTGAGTTTAGCCCACAATCACTATCATGCACCTTTGAGACTTTGCCGTGGAGTGGACGTATTCAGGAGAAAATTGATTTTTTGTGGCATGAATTTCAAGGTATTTAAGACGTTTTGTTCTTGTAAATTTGACACTTTCATCCAGGATTTTTTCATCCAATTTTTCCAGGATCCAGGAAAAATTAAGATTTCCTCCCTACAATCGCAGAGGCTGCAGTGCTCGCTGTATGAACGTAGCCTAATGTTGATGTGTTTCCTAACTTAATTTCAGCTGCAACCGCAGTGGAACAAGTCAGGATGAAATCTAAACATATTTTATGTTGGTGTGTACTAATATCCAACTTCCTATCATTAACACTGAGTACAGATGTGGTGTGTAGTCCGTATACAGGGTAGCCTCAAGTTAACCACGAACCAAATGTCCTCGGAGCAGTTTAGAGATGCAGCGTAAATTGCCATGGCAACAGGCCTCGGGTAACAGCTATCCACCTTTCGTAGTACGGGTTAATCAGGAAGTTACACCCGACGTCACGAAGTTAGACCTGGATAAGCCAGTTACCTCGCTTCGTAGTACAGGCCACAAACCTCGGAAGTGTCTTGTTTGTACTGAAGCAGACACAAGAGCCAGATTCTGTATAGAAAGGTCCAGATTTGAAGCTTGAATCTTAAGAGCTATGAGCTCACAAGTGTATAAAATATAAATGAAATGGTTTAATACTAAAAACACTTGCGAGATCAGACGTCCGTTGTACTGTGTCCCCGTGACACAAGCTTTTACTGTGTATTAGAAGGCAAAAGGACTGGATTTATATAGCACTTTTCTGCCTACCCGGACAAAGCCCTTTACAATTTTGCCTCTCATTCACCCATTCACCACACACACACACACACACACAGGAACGAATGTCGAATCCGCTAATCAAACCGCCAACCTAGTGATTAATGGACGAACCGCTCCGCCGCCTGAGCAGCTGCCACATCTTCATGGACTGATCACAGTAGCTCTCGAATTATAAATGTAGAAGCTTATAACCCAAGCTGATTGTTATAACTCTCTACATTTTAATATTATTTCAGTCTGCTGGCTTTTGTTTTAGCTGTACATTCAGTCATTTTGCTAATGAAAACGTGTTTCACACTCACTGGATTCATGGAGGATGAAGAACGATTCATTAATTCATCAAACAATCCAAGTAGACAGCACTTTGATAGAAACATCAAACTGCTGATGACTACTAAAAGCAGAGCTGCAGTTCAAAAGAGCTTTAAATCAAAGACCGAGAGGAAACAGACAAATTGGCTGGACAGCAAACAAAACAAGAGATTTTGTTTTTACCATTTCTATCTGCGAACATGTAAAGGTGCCGAGAATAAACACCGCGACAAAAAGACAAAGAGGACAGACGGTAAAAGAGAGAGCCAGACTGTCACTGACGATGTTTTGTCTCAACACACACACACAAATATACAAATGATAGCTATTAACCTCAGTCAGTGTGTAATCACAGAGGCCAGACCACTGCGCAACAACTCCCCACAGCATACAAATACACACACGGTCATTCAGAAAGACACGCGGGACACCTGTTCACCCGTCCTCCCACTTCTGACCAACCATCAGTTCTGTTTATAAATAGCCTCCTATTGTAGCCGTCCTCACAGTAACAATAGTCACCAGCAGGCTTGTCCAGGTGCATTGTGGGTGCTCAATCTGTAGGCATTGGCGGGTTGTACAAGCAGAAGATAAAAGAGACACATAGTACAGAGACGGACAGACGGATGAATGACAATGAGATCAGGTGTTACACATCACAGGAATCCAGATGTTTCTTTCTGTATAACACTGGAGAATTTCTTCCTGAGGGTGGCGCTACAGAAAAGGTCACGTGTCGTTATTTAAAAGAGTGCATCGCATCCCGAAAGCTGTTCAGGAAAAGCCATGTAAATCTATCCAGTAGATTTCGTCGTCAGGTATGTGTACAAGTAGAAGTATTGATTTCATGGTGGAGCTAGAGAAAAGGTTGGAGGTTCAACTTAAAAAATGAAATTTGTATTGTATTAATATATATCCCAATTTGTTTAATTTGTTATTGAAAAAGGGCCATGTGAAGTTTTAAGTGACTTCTAGCGCTGAGGTTTCAGAATGCAACTTCTATCTTCCCAGGCGCACGCTCAAACCAATGAGCAAGCCAAAACAGAGACCAACAAACTGGAGACGGCATAACACAACATGCTGCAAACTCAGGTAAACTCCCACTGCAACGGTACAGTCATTTTTTTTTTTTTATCAGCTTGACGTTGAACTGATCCATGCTCGTTACATGATGATTTTACACTGACTGCATTTAATGTCAGCATAGCTAAATTGATTGGAGGGTGACGTTATCCAACTTGAGCCGCCTAAAACACAGATCACAATCTGTTTCACATGCTTTGCAGAAATGATTAACTGGCTTTATTATTGCATCAATGCATTAATTAATTAACACAGACAATTATTTTATAGCACATTAACGCAGTTTTTAAAAAATTATTGTTGATCAGCCTGCAAATCAATGTTTATAGCAGTACATTTAAATTAAATTAATTAATAAAAGTGCGCAATACACTACTTTAGAATTTATTATTCAATTTAGCGCATAACAATGCGATTAATCGTGATTAAACATTTTAATCGTTGCCCAGCACTCATTTTTATGTGAGGTTCACATATAGGCAATAAAAAAGTGATTCATTCATTAAAAAAAATAAAATAAAAAATAAAACTACATCTAGATCCTTCAAAAGATTTGTTTTGCAGCATAAAAATGTCAATCAAGTAAAGAATATAATTTATCATAATAGTTGAAAGAAGCAGATGGAAAACTGGCATACTGAAACTGAAAAAGAAAAAAAAGTGGAGCTGATAAGATCAGGAACAAGGAAAAGAAAATACTCCTAACCCTCATCCTTTCATCTTTGCATATTTGCCCTCCCTCCTCCTCCACAGCTTCCTAATTACCCCTGCTTTGTCATCTTGTGCATCACCCATCATTTAATCCCGGCAGTAGCAAGCCTTGGTTGTCATGACATCCTGTCAAGACCTCCAAGGACATCCTCTCACTCTCCTCTTTTTATTGTTATCTTCCTCAAGTGTTGTCATGAAGTGCAATCCATTAATTCGTGTTATTGTTCCTGCTGAGCTTGAACGAAGGGAGCAGTCCACAAACATCCGACTGCAGATGAGCATGTACGGTCATCCAGCGTCACAGGAAACCACGTGAGGGGTTTTTAATTCAGTAAGAGATACCCATTTAATTAGGGGACAATTTACTGTAAAGGTAAGATTGGTCTTTTTCCCCCCATTGGGGTGCTTTATTAAAGAGGTGGTATTATGCTCATTTTCAGGTTCAAAATCATATTACCAGAACAGGTTTATATGGTTTCATTTTCAAAAAACACCATATTTTTTTGTCATCCTGCACATTGCTGCAGCTCCTCTTTTCACCCTGTGTTGAAGGCTTCGTTTTAGCTATGGAGTGATACATCTTGTCTCTAAATGATCTTTGTTGGGAGTTGCACATGCTCAGTTCCTAGTTAAGGACTACTAGCCAATCAGAAGCAGAGAAGGGCGGGTCAGCGAGAAGCCAGTAAACGGCTCGGGTTCAGCTGTACGTGTCGCCGACCAGCTTGGCAACATGGACTGGAGCGAGAGTTTCAGAGTGGTGAGTTATTAATCTGTATCCATAAAGTTTTAACTGAGCTCTGTCTCTACATCACAGGAACAACTTTATGTCCACTGACTGCCTGGAGGGTAGCTGGTGTTTGGAAGGGAGAGGAGAGCTGTGTGCTGCAGCTCGCTGTTTTTCCACTGCTGTTTTTGAGGACGTGCTCACGTACTGACACACATGCACTGTTATCACCAACTGTAAGGTGTCAACATGTTTGACTCGGACAAAGTTTGGTCTAGTTGGTAACAAGGCCCTGAAACACCATTTCATTTAAACCCCATTTACACCTGGCATTAAAATGCAACCTGTATCTATTTACCGTACACATTTTAGTTACCATGATACCTGAATTCGGTTACCGCGCTATTATAAACTCACGGCAAACACTGTCCAGCATCAACCAAAGTTAGCGACAGTCTCCCAGAAGCAGGTGAACATGCACAGTATGCACCGTGGCTTTGTTTGGCTCAAAGACAACACGGCGTAAGACAGCGCTTTCACTCTGAAGTCAGGTCGGATTTTAGTTTTTATGAGAGCGCTGAGGGAAACTTCATTGAAGAAAATGACCTTATAGTGAACGCAGGGTGAGTTAACTTTAACTTCCTCTGTATTTTTGGCAGCTGTTGGGCTCATTGCAGTTACTGTCACTGTCTTCTAAAGACTTATGTTTTTATATAATGGTGGACGGGGTCATTTGCATTACCTATGTTACATAAAATCTAAAATCTTGATAATGCACACTTAGATGGTTTTCACATGTTTACAAAAGGTATTATTCGGTTTTATTATTTTAATGTTTACGCAAAAATACAAAATGGCTATTTTATTTGTATTTTTTAATATAAAACTTGTTGAAATGGTTTCAGTGTGTGCATCATTTTAATCTTTTCACATTTTTACAGTACCGTGATAATACTGATATTTTGGTCACTATAATCGTGATATGAAACTTTCGTACCGTTTCATCCCTTGTGGCAACACAAATGCAAAAAGCATAAAGTTAACTAATAAACAAAGAAATGGTACGTGGATATCAGAGCTCTTGGAAGCCAATTAGATCTTACGGAGGAGTAAGCTGTTAATCACTAATAATCAATTACTGAAATAAACCTACAACGATCATACAGTGCAAATGCGTGGAATTCTCAACAGTATACATATTGTGTGTTTCTATGATTTATTTAAATTTGTGTATGATATTTAGCTGTTTATTTTAATCATCTGTCACATCTTGTGAAGCAAAGCGGTAAATGTGGTAAATGTGGTCTGTAAATTAACTGGATCAGTCTATTTTCAGAGTTTTCACAAATATTGTGTGTGAAAATGTGACGATTCACTCTACAAGCCTCACATGTTTAAAGATTTTCTTTGAGCATTGAGGACGTTAGGGATGTTTAGAGAACCGAACCAGGAGCATGGTGGTAGATCACCTTCAGATGTGAGAGAAACTTTTTAAGGAACAAAAGAATAAACAGAAATTATTTTTATACAACCAATTTTCTTCTCTGTACCCAGTCAACACATCCTGCTGCAGGGCCCCAGGTTCCCTGCTGAGATCAATAAAGTTTTTAATCTTTTTCCATAACAAGCTGCCAGTGTTTCTAGAAAAGGTGTCATTGTTTTTCCGATCCTGAAATGAAACTCAGTCCAGCCTCGGCACACAAAACCATATTTAACAATATTAAAAAAGGAAACACAAACCTCCTGTAATACTTTACAGATGAAAAAGCAAATTGTGGTGATTATCCAGTGGGCCGGACGGCTGTAACGGGCCCGAGGAATGCTACACTATCTAATGTGTGTGTGTTGAGTGTTTTCACTTTCATATGGTTTTCATTTGGGGCGGAGGTTTGCATAATTACTCTGGCATCAGTAGCCGTGGTGACAAAGCGGGCTGGTGAGCGCTCCACTGGGTCTGCGTTCTCACGGCAGTCAGAAATAACCTCGTCTTTAACAGGAAGCAACATTCCCTTTAATGTCGAAATGCTGACAATGAATAAACAATATCGCCGCCGTCAAGAACCTCGAGGCATGATTGTTAATTTTGATTTTTCTCTTTTTTTTTTTCTGTCACAGGGACAATTTCATAACTAATATTTCTAATTTTGTGCTTTATCTTCTGAGGACTCAAACAAACATCTTATTTTTCATGAAACGTACTGAGCAGGGAGAATATTTGAAAACATTTCAACAGATAATCTAACTTTTCTGATCACTGAGTGATTTCAGCTGAAGGTAAAGAAGTGTGAGTCAGCTGAGACCTGAATCACCCCGTTAAACCGCCTGTAACTTTCTAATTAGAAGTGTGATCCTGTGATTTTCTGCACGCTGTAGATTTTTCTAATGCACGGTCATCAACTGGAAAACAGCTTTTCTTCTTCTTCTTCTTCTTCTTCTTGCTTTTCTTAAAGCCTTCCATTTTGGAGACAGGAGTGCTGCTCCAATGTTGTTGCTAGCAGTTCAACATAAACAGAGACTGAGTACATACATCGAGCGTATTGTAAACAGAGGAAGTAACACACCATTACATCCCAGACAGAGACGGGGAACAAAAACACACCCCACTGACACTCAAACTGCACTTTTGTGACCCTACTTTAACGGTAATATTTGAGATTTAAAAAGACTAAATAAGGATCTGTGAAAGTTCACATCGATGTAAAGATGCTATCTTCTGCACTGTCCCTTTCAAAAAAAGTCACCTCATATCTTAATCATTTTAGCGGCTTTATTTGCAACTACTGGGTAGCCAAATCTGCTGATGTGTTGCAGCAGGAAGCCTTCATCAGAGCATGTGTGACAGGTTTTCTTTTTAACAGGACAACACATACACACACCGCTGCACCTTCAAGAAGATCCACAAGACCAAAACAGACAGAAAAAGAAACGCTTTCCATTAGTTGCAAACTAAATCAGTAAAAATGATAAAGGCTTTTTCCCTCCGTAAGTCTGTTTTTGGGGAACATTAAGACAATGAACCTCTCATGAACAGTGTTTCTGTTAGTCTCACAATACTTGCCAGGCAAATTCCAAACATCAGACAAGGATAAAATACTCTCTTCAACAACGTGTCCCAATCTAAGCAAGTCAGTTAGTGTATTATTGAGTCATATATTTCTTTTAGAAAAGGCCAATGAGATTATTTCATGTGTTTTTAACATTAGTCATTCTTTCAGAGTCAAGTTAGTCAAGACTCCTGTGTCATTTTCTGAAATCTGGTGCAGTGATCTGTTGCTCTCACCCACAGGCAGACTGTTCAACTGAAGAATAACAGTCTGGAACGCTGAATGTGAGAGCTTGACAACATCTTTATGGTTTGATTGTTTTGTATGATTTTCTCTTTTTAGATTATTAAAAAAAAAAATCAGCGAAAATGTTTCTGGTAACAAGAAGAGAGGAGAAAATGGAAAATGGCTGAAATGTGTTGAAAAATAACCCTCCTAAGTAACGTGCCTTGACATCAGGCTTAATTGCTCTGATGAAATGATGACATCACTCGCTGCACTCACCGTGTCTGAGCCACTGGGTGCTGGTCAGGGTGCCCGTCATGCCGCCAGCCAAGCCCCGCCCCGCCGCGTCCCGCCGCTGGCTCAGTGTGGAGATGAAGGTGCCCAGAGACGGAAACGGCTGCTTAGCTCCTCGTCCTATACCCTGGCGCAGGAAGATGACATCATTACCACGGGGTACACAGAAGAAGAATTTCTGCTTGTGTACGTTGAAGACAGCGTCACTGAATAAATAACCAGCATTTCATACAAATGTAGTTTGGAGTTCTCTACTTGTTGATTTTTGGAGCAGAATTTAACAGTAATAATGAAACCATTTATTATTAAAGATGACAGTAACAATAAAAGAGGCATCTAAAATTAATTTAAAAAATTAGATTATTGTTTTACCTTCATTTACTTAAAAAAGTGAAACTCTCATACTGTATATTCTAGATTCATTACACATAAAGGGAAACATTTCTTAATAAATTATTTTTTTAGTCCTGCTGATTACGGCTTACAGCTCAGGGAAATCAAAAATCGAGTATCTCAAAATGTATTAAAATATTAGACTAAAGGATTTATAATACAGAAATGTCGACCTGAGAAGAGCTCTAATCACCTAATTAACTTAAAACAGCTGCAAAGGTTTCCTGAACCTTTCATCTCTCACTCTCGTGCTCACAATGAATGATATTCAAATTTTCTGAGATGCATCTGTGCACATGTGAATACTAAACTGCACTGACCATCAAATTGTAATATAAAAAATAACCAATAACATAAATGTAGCTTTGCTGCACTACAATTTTTTTTTTTTTACGTGTGTAAAGATTCATTTGTGATCAGCCAATAATACTGATATAGCAAACCTAGCTACAGTAACTGAAGTTACATGTAAAGTTCAAATACAAGAAACATCAGAATATAAAATTTTGCAATTTATTACTTAAAAATATAAGGCAACAAATGGCCAAGAATGTAAAAGTTATGAACACAAATGCTTTACTAAAAAAACTCTTTTCCTTCTCAGATTTTAGGGTTTCTCACCAGGATGGGAACTTCTTAGATCTATCCAAAATTTCAGCTGCATGAATAGACAATGATAAAATAACCCAAACTGATCTGATCTAAAATGTAGTACGTGAAGAGGAGAGGAAGAAGGGAGAGGGGGAAAAAATGGATATTACAAGACGAAATTAGGGTGAAAGGGAAAGAAAAAAGGTGAGGAAATAAAATGGGAATATGAGGGTGTAAGAAAAAAAGACAAGAAAAAGAAAAAGGATCAAGAGGGAAGAAGAAAGAAAGGAAGAAAGGAGAAGGGGCAGAAAGTGCAAGTAAGAGGATGAAAGGAGGGGAAGAGATCAGGAAAGGAGGAATAAGAGAAAGAGAAGAAAGGAAATTGATGCAGATAAGACAGGGGGGGAAGAGTAAAGACCAGGAATTAAAATGTGAAGACGGAGAAAAACACAAAGCATAGATGAAGAAGGATATGAGAAAGAGGACGGGAAACCTGAAAGAACAGATGGAGAGGAATGAGCATACAGGAGGAAGAGAAGAGGAGGAGGGTTGAGAGGTGGAGGAAGAGGAGGTGGAGAGATCAACAGATGCACAGCAGCTGCTCCTGACAGCAGCGCACACACACACACACACACACACACACACAGCGATGTGTTCAGGGGCTGCAGAGAAGAAGGAGCAGAACGACGATTAATCTGCCGTTCAAAATGAAACCGTTTCCAAAGAAAAAAAGACCCCGAGGACAAATCAGAATAAAATCATAGTCTTGGCATCCACACACATTATCTACAGTTTCCATGTCATTATATAATTTTGTCTCTCGTGCACAGCAGCGTGGAGGAAAAAAACAAAACAAAGGGCAGTTTGTGTGTGAAGCAACAACCTCGGACAGTTAGTGAGTATTTTCAGAGTAGTTATACGTAACATACTGTCCACACAAACACATTCATCTTGTGTCTTTGGACAGAAGCTCATTCCTCAGTGGGAGGTGGGAACATCTGACTGATCTGCACACAAAACACAGCGATCCATTTATCAAGACCTACATTTACAAGAAGCTTGTTATTTGTTAATATTTAAAATGTGATTTTAATGGTACTCAGTGTGGCGGGGCTCTACGGATGGCAATGTCGGCTGGTAGGTCCACCCCTTTGGTCCAGACTGAAGTATCTCCAAACCAATACTTAGGTTTAATACCCGCAAAACCAATTTATACTTCTGCCTCGAGTCTAAGTCGTTTACACATCGTCGTAAACATTTTGTGTCTGCGTCGCTTTGCAGCTGTGCGCCCAAAACATTAGTTGCCCGTGTGGTTTCTATGTTCCAGTGTGTTGAGTCTCTGCTTCTTAGTCGGTGTACAACAGGCTGCTACAAACGATGGCGACTGAAAGTGAGCGGATCATGTTGAACAGCAGCGACTTTTAGTGAAACTACTAAAACGCTGGAAGAGAGGGCCTCGGAGGAGACGGTATGTATGTACGACCCCTGACCCGGTCGAGGCAGAAGAAGAAGGACGAGCCAGAAATGTAACGCTTCCGAGCCGTCCAATCACAGCCCTTGCTGTTCGGTCAGCATCGGCAGACGTATAAATTGGCCTTTAACTGTACTTCATTTTCCACTGTGCACACTGGGCTTCTAGCGTGGCTGCAGACTTTTAGTCTTGATCGTCTCCTGTTGCTTTGCTTGCACCTGTATAATTCCACGGCTTTCTAATTGAAGCCACAGAGCAGCCACGTCACTCCCTCCTAACTCATCACAGCTCCACCCACAGCAGCTGATAGACAGGTGGTCTCTGGGAAACGTGGAGCAGAGACATCACTGAGCAACAAAACATGGAGACGACTTCCAAATCAGTTGTACTACTAAAAAAGGTTGTCGGCAAGTATTTCTCATAGGTTTTTTTTTGATTAAATGAACACTGACTACGTCCCGGTTCACATCTGACAACAATTAGCAGTTTTCGCAGCAGGTTTTATCATAGTGAGTCCAACTCTTCAGTCTGAAAGGAAATGCTGTCATCCAGCGAGAAACCACACCAAGAGGAGCTCCACATCTGACGCTCTTTCTCACACACACCCTCCTCTCTCTCTCTCCCTCAGCTGTTAATCACTAATCAAATCCTGTAGATTATTGCGAGACCGTGTGAGTTTGGATCGGTCACGTTTTGTTTGTATTCTCTTGGGTTTTTCCTCTCTGCCATGTCCAAAGGTTTCATTATCTCATTGCTTTTAACATGTCAAATATATTAGCTGAAGTTCTTATCCTGACTGGCTGTTAATGAATCGTCAGACAGACAGACCTGCAACTGATGAGCATTCTGTTAAAGAAGGAGGAAACGTGTTTTAAATTCACAGCCATTATCACCACCGGCTGCATGGATGACGGCGCACTTGGTTGAGTTCAGGCACCACAGGACCAGATATGAGCCGTCCGCGGCTGCCAGATTTCACTGGCAGCACTAGGGCCAGCTTTATGCCAGAGATGACACTCAGAATTGATCGAAGACAGCTTGAACTGATTATGGTGAATTATTGATCACAAGTCAGGGATGACTCTTTCAGCCAGTCGTGACAGATTTAGGCCATCGATGGTCTCTTTGGCTCTCTGAGTGCTATGAGAGAACAACTCGAACACAGACTGAAACAAAGTGAAACATCCACTAGACTGAAACTGTATATGTTCTGTGTGTTCATACGGAACCAGAACCAAATTTTAGAGGCAGAGAAATTGCAAACAAAGTCAGGGGAAGGACGCAATTTCAACTGGAGCGGTGAATCTGTGCAAATTATATATTACCTGATAAGTCTGTCTGTCAAAGACGATCTAATCTGATCTTCAGAGAGTCAACTGTAGGTGGAAGCATCACATTTAAATCATGCTTGATTTGATAATATCGGATCATGCTTTTTAAATTATGGTTCAGGTTTTTACAGATCAGACTGATCAGGCTGCAGAATTCACACATTGGTTTATGGCTGATGGCTCTACAGCAGGTCACCACAATAAACACCGGAGCACTTTAAAATCCAGCGATCTTACATGCACGTCTCTCTGCCAACTTGTCAACTTTCATCTGGGATAGACCAGAATCATAGGGGGCCTTAAACAAACACCTGAGACATGTTAGACCACGCTCACGACACCATCGTCAAAACACCAAATGAGGGAATATTATCTTACAAGAGGGATGTTCATCTGTCCAGTGGAGATCTATAAAGGCAAAGAGCACTGAAGCTGTTCTCTAGGCTCATGTTGGAGCAACACCTTCCTGAGACACCTGTTGCACGTAATGCATGTTCAATTTACAATGACAGAAACAAGAGAAAATCACATTAACCTTACACCGAGAAGCCAGAACCAGAGAACGTTCGCCATAAATTAATTTTCTGTTTAAATATCTAATCTAATGTAACCAGACCATCATCTCATCATACCCGTGGAGATCTGGAGAAAAATGGGGTTTTTGGAGGCAGAAACAGCAGGTCTGGTCAAATTTGTGTTCAGGTGAAACAAACTTTCTTCTTCAGTGAGCATCTGTCTTCAATTCTTCAGTTTTTATTGGTCTGCAAACACAATGACAGCCCGCTGTATCTAAGACCTTTTTATCCACCACTGAGCCTGAATTTCCTCAGATCTAAGCTTAGGGGGCCAGAAGACGTCTGAGGGGGATTCAGAGAACGAGTCCGACTGAAATCCCAGAGAGAGAACGCATGCAGCCACTTTATTGCATTTCCAGACACAACCGGTCGGTCTGAGCAATGATAGACTATTTATTGGTCAAAACCATCTCAACTGCACATTCCTGCTCCCTGACACAATGGAGATGACATCAACCAACCAGCCTGCAACCCGGCCAGTCTGACTTCGAAGTGACACAGAGAAGCAAACATAAAACACACCGATGCAAAGTCCAACAGTCAGCCGCCTCAGACGCTGCTGGAGAGCTGATGTCAGGAGTCATTATATAAGACAGGGGCATCACTTTTTCCAACAGGAGGAGAGGTTTTTCAGTTTGCCGTCACTCTATATGCACACTGTATGTTAGGTGATTGTAGGTGGTTTAGTCATACATTATACATAGATTTATAATGCTTATGTGTCTTGTGTTCAAGTCTGTGTGTGTTCACCGGCCTCAAAGATGATCAGAATCTGTAGAATGCCAGATATGTTATTCTAAAATGAACTGGATTAAAGCGAGGAATTGGAAATGGACATTACAAACTGCATTAAAAAGAGATGCATATGCAGATTATCATATTGTACTGTACCAAAAGATGTGCCCCACTCCCTAATTAGGTGTTGTTTCTAAGGTGTGTTGTGTTATGGATAATAAACAGTGAAATAAAACAAGTAAAACAGAATACAGGCTGTACAGTAAAACACAAGCATCTTTCAGACTTGTATGCCACTGAATCACACAGCGCAAATTAATACTCCCTAATTATATAGTGGTGGACAATATGCTCCCTCCCCACAATATTGAAAGCGTTATTTAATGACTTTAAACACAAAGTACTGGATTTTTCTGTAATTTGAAATAAAGAAAACTAGTTGGTCATTGAATGATAGGTTACGGGTTTTTTTTTCCCACATTGACACTAAATTAATAATACACAAATAAAACACATTTCATGCCACACACACACACACAAAAACTTTCTGCACAATAAAGAGAAATCCCGGTAAAAACAATCACTTGGAAAATACAAAAGGAGAAAAGTTTTCTTACAGCAGGAGGGGAGCTGTTGTAAATTGGTGGAAGCTTCTCTCTTTCCCTCTCAACTCCTGACAGCGCAGATTGTTCTCCATCCATCCTCTCGGCGTGAAAGTGCGTAAAAGTTGGGGGTTTTTTTATTCCTGGAAAGACTCAGTCCTCTACAACCTCTGTGTTTCTGCTCCTCACAGGGCTGCACATGTTTTTACCAGAGCCAACTCTGACCCAGAGTTACCCGTCTGTCTGCCCAGTCTGCTCCGTTATGTCACATAAATCAGGGAGATTCACATCCTACACGAAACATTGTGAAATCTACCTTCGTCGCACAGGTGGGCTCTACGCGCACAGCCAGACGCGTAAACGTATCCAAAAGCAGCAAGTAAAGTCTAGCCTGAAGTTGTGTTCGTTTTAAAATACTTTTTAAAACACGTTCAGGGTGGGTTACTACCCGCTTCTTCTTCTCCTCTTTCTGTCCCTCTCTGCGTCGTCTGTCGGGGTAGCAGCAATGCTGCGGGCCGGCGCCATGTTTGGAGGAGGAGGCGCCTGGAGACGGCAGCGCCACACATACATACAGAGAGAGAGAGAGAGAGAGAGAGAGAGAGAGAGAGAGAGAGAGAGAGAGACTGGAAATTGTTTGGGATTCACAATAAAACGGGGAGCTTTGAAAGAAAGAAGGAATGAAAAAAGAAAGGAGGGTTTGTTAATAAAAACCATGTTCAAGCACAACTGTACTGAACTGAAGGGAATCAAACAAACAAACATGTAAACAGAGGCCCATGGAAAAAAAAGCAAGAATAAACATGATTAAAAAAAGTTTTTTCTCAACCAAACTTACTGTGCTTTCAGACCAAAAGCGAGCGTTCGGGGCGGTGAGTTTACTTATGTGGTGTATAATATATGTGCATTTGACGCATAACAGTTTAACATTGCACTGTAGCAGCTGGATAGAGGATTAGTGACCTTTAAGGGGAGAGCAGAGGTCAGTGGTTACGTGGAGGCTCAGACCCTTTTCTGGTGTCCAACAAGATGTCTACACTTATCCTATAGAACCGGACAGCACACTTACAAAGTCAATGCAAAGACGCGTAGAGCCGCGATTTTCTGTCAGGCGGCGCGAAGCAACGCGAAGGCCTTCGCTGAGTTGAAAATCTCCTTCTCGCATTGTGTGTGAACTCTTGCAGCGAATGTACTCACATGAGGAAAGCATCCAGAGGATTAAATTGGCGTATGGGCTGAAAGGACCATTAGACAGTTGCACTGTAGAATTTATAGAGTTACCACAAAATAAGGCCAGCAATTCTGTCTTAGGGAACAAGAGTCTTTATTTCCATTTTGGTTGTTTACTGGTCTCAGTGTAAACAAGTTGTTGTCAGTTTTGTTTACAGATATTTCTGGGAATGTAAAGGATCTCTTCAGCGAATTCATTATAACTTAAATATTAAAGGTTGTTTCTTCAGTTAGATTTCATTGTATTTCCAGTATGATCTGAAAATAATCAGTACATGTTACTTATTATACTTGTTACTTATCATGCACAGTTTTAATAATTCTCTTTTAATATTTAATATTCATTTATTGTCATTGCGTGGCACAACGAAATTCAGGTGCAGTACCTGAAACGTTGCTCAAAATATACATAAAAAAACAAATCCCACACACACAGGTAATAATAATAATAATAATAATAATAATAATAATAATAATAATAGGTGTCTGTAAGATGTGTGAGTTCAGTGCAGAGTTTAGTGTGTTAATACCCTCATGGACCTTTGAGTATATTTTTAAACTGACTGCATGAATCTTTTTATTGTCCTAATCCTGTTTCTTTTTATTTGCACTCCATACACACCATCTCCTCAGTAGAAGTAGATATACTTTATTTAATCCCCTGAGGGGAAAGGACCTTTATTTTGACAGTTGTGACAGGAAGTGATGTTCTGTGATTTCCTCTGTCTTGACTGAGGCCCTGCAGACTGCGTCACCGCTACAATTTAACTTCTGTCCATAATTAGTGAGAAACAGGATCCGGGCTTTGGGCCAACTCTCACGGAACATAAGAAACTGAAAAGCTCCTGATGTCGCAGATCTGTGTGTGTGTGCGCGTGTCTGTTATGTGTGTGTCTGTTATGTGTGTGTGTGTGTGTGTGTGTGTGTGTGTGTGTGTGTGTGTGTGGTTTCTCGGTACAGATGAGATCATCTGAGCTCTCTGTCTGGTTTCCTAAAAACAGCAGTGTTCCTGCAGATCCTGGAAAAGCCTTGAAGACAGTTTTAGATTTGATATTCCTGTAACAACTTCACTTTTTGTTGTCTTTCACTTTTATTTCAAGGCCATCATAAATTTTAGGAACATGTACACACAACCAAATATTAGAAACACCTCAACACCAGTCATTAACTACAATCCCTGTTAGTTAGTTGCACAAAAAGTACATTTTAATTGTTATGTAACTCTGACAAGCAGATTGATGCTGTGGGGAAAAGAGCTGTTTTTGTAGCAAAAACTTAATTTCTTTTATTCTTTTTTGCAACTGAAGCATCAGCTTTTCTAAAATTGGTCCAGTACAGCCGCCGGTTGAGCTGTGTTTGTTTTGGGAGCTTAGACTCTGTTTCTGCAGCAGACGGTCCGCCTGTTACTGTAACAGCAGATGTGTTGTGCTTCAGTTTTTATGGTGTCTGGGCCTCAAACTCTCTGCAGCCACGTGCACCTGATGTGGAAACACAAGGTCTGCTGGGACAACACTTGGTTGAATGTCCAGGATCATGCTGGATGATCAGGATCCTGTAAAACAGACCTCTGAACAGACGCTGTAGTAAACAGACATATCGTGTTGATGTTTTACAGCTCTGATTCCCTTTATGACAAGTTTACGTACAGAGGATCAAGGCTGCAGACTGAGGCACCGGGAGCTGTTGCATTATGGGAGTGTTATATAAGAGCAGATGGGCTGTGGCTGACTCATGGATTTATGGGCTGTGGGCTTCTTCTGAAAACACATCCAGGATTCGACACACGAGCTGGAGAACGAACACATGAGTCAGGAGGTGAATAAATAAATAGGTGAATGAATTAACGAGCCACCAAGAAGCCAAGCGAAGGATTGCTTATTTGATTTTCAGCACTGACGTATAGGTGTATTCATACATCCTGGTTATTAATTTATCTTCTCCGGATGCCCTTGAGCAGGGCATTAATCCTCCACAAACCCTCCAGGGGCCCAACATTGTGGTTGACCTTGACCTCTCTGAAGGAATGAGAGCATGTCGCTGGGTCCGATCTTAGGGACAAAACTGCCTTCTTCAGAAGACGACAGATCTCCTCTCCAAATAGCTAACTGATCTACAAAAGATTTGCTTCAGTTAAGGGGCAGTGGTGGCCTAAAGGTAGAGAAGCGAGCTTGTGACCGGAAGGCCCAGCAGTGGAGCTGCACAGTTGCTGTTGTTGTATTGGGCAGCTTCCAGGTGGGTGTGAATGTGTAACATTGCTCTCAGTAAAACTCCCCCCTGATTAAATAAAGTTCCCGAACCAAGAGCCTTGCACAGACTAGAACTAGTGGTGCATTCAGGTGCTCCTCTTTCATTTATAATTAAGGCCTCAATACGTTTTGGAAAGACAGAGATGTGGCTTACATTAAATGTGTGGTCAGATTCAACATGTTGGTGACTTTTTTTGATCAGATTGTTCCTCATTTAAGTACCGACGCCCCGTCTACCAGCGGCAGCATGATGCAGATTGAGAAACCCATGTCTGAAGCTAGTACTGCATCACCCTATCCATGCTACACCCCTCCGTGAAGCTAGGAGGCTTTTATGCTACATAGAATAATATATACTATAATATATGATATTTTTAACTGTCCCTGTGCCTAAAAACCTGATTGCAGTTTGATTTCATCACGTTCATGGTCACTATCTGAAGGTGTGGCTAACACAAGTAACGATCAGCCTAAAACATGTATGCTTTATTTGGATTTAGTGATTTTTTGGTGAGAACAGCCTCAATGTTCACTTGGTACATACGAGCATTAACAACAGAAAAGTGATTTACATAGAGCAGCAATACTTTAAAGTTGAGCATCGATGCCCCCTGTACGGGGGGACTGCAAGCAATTTTTGCGCAAAATGCAGATTGAGAAATTCATGTCAGGAGGCTCAGCTAGAAACGACCAACCATTTTTATCCACACCAAACACACATCAAACACCAAGCATCTAAATGAGCTTATATCAAAACATAAATCTCTCTGTGATCACTGTACATGGCTGCAGTTATTGCCATCCAGATATCTCTCATCTCATCCTACACTGCAGTTCGCCCTCTCTGAAGAAAGCTAAGCTCCAGCTCTGATCTGCTGTGTAACTCGTATCACTCAATTCACTAAACTTATTAACTTAGAGTTATTAGCTGGATAATTTTGGATGTTCTGTTCTCAAGTTGTGGGTCTTTTGTTTTGGAGGCTTTATGTTATTTGGAATATGGTTGTAAGGACAGAAATAGTGTTTTGAAGAAAACTCCCAATAAAAGTGAACATATAAACATTAAATATAGCCAAAACATGGACATTCGCCTGGTATGTTTTTGAAAAATCGTCCACTTAGGGTTACAGTCCCCTTAAGGGTTAGAGTCCCTAAGTGTTAAAGGGTTACAGTCCCCTTAAGGGTTAGAGTCCGTAGTGTTAAAGGGTTACAGTCCCCTTAAGGGTTAGAGTCCGTAGTGTTAAAGGGTTACAGTCCCCTTAAGGGTTAGAGTCCGTAGTGTTAAAGGGTTAGAGTCCCCTTAAGGGTTAGAGTCCCTAAGTGTTAAGAAAAGGATAGAGTGGGAAATGGGGAATCAAAGGAGTAATATAAGTAAAGTTGAGAGACCTGCCTGTTTTTATTTTCTATTTAACTCATTTAAAACATTTTTATATTTCCCTGTTGCTTTTGTTTTATGTAAAGCTTTTGATTTACCTTGTTATTGAAATGTGTTATAAAAATAAACTTGCCTTGCCCAATAACTGTTGTATATTAGTTTCTTTTCATCAAAATTACAGTTACAGTTGTATACTGTAGGTGTAGTAAAAGATATTCAGTTACATTATAATGAGCTGGATGATGGTTTTGATGGTGATATTGCTATTAAAATATAGATTTTATACCAGGCAAGGATGAAAATATCATTTTTTCCTTTTACTGCATCTCCATTTACTCGTTGATAGAAAAATAAATAGGTTCATTAGCTTCCTAAGCTTCTGACCTATCAAAGGAGAATTATACATCTAGGTGTAATTGTTGAGGAGTTATTACTGATTCATTTTTTATATGTTATTTTAGGCGTTTTTCCTGAAAATAGGTGTTTCCTACTGGTTAATTCATAATTTTGACAATTTCACACTGTATATACTATATGGCCACTGTGTTTAGACAGCAGTTAACATTTGAGGACTTTGGCTTATTTTCTTTAATTTAAAACAAAGGTATTGAAATGGTACCTGGAAAAAAGTATTTGCTTTCCGTACCATAACTTGTTTTAAAAAATACTGACAATGTCAAAAAGACTGA